GAAAATGACTTAAACTGATAGGATTGTTACATCATCCAGGAGAGTCTGGATTCTTTGTAAAGCAACATTGAGGAGATTGTTTATAAAAAATGTTTACAAATCTATAAAACACTTGGTACTGCTTTAGATTACAGCACGTATGTTTCGGTGTTACAATTTTGAAAATACGGGGTACCCATGAAATACTTCCTGTAAACTGCAGTACTACAACTGTACTTAAAATAATTGACATTGTACTGTTTTTCAACTGTTCATGTTAACATGAGTTCTAAAACTGTCTGATTTGATATATTTTCAGCTAAATGTGGCATGAGACCAAACTTCTCAAATATATTTTTAAGGCTGCCTCATCTAATATAAGTTATACATGATCGATGCAAAACAGCAGTAAAACAGCCAGCTCTAGTAGCATGCAGTTGAGAGTATTAATTCCACTTTTTTTCCTTCCTTCCTTCGGCATGAAAAACAACATCATTCAGCTGCTTCTACCTACTTCTGAATATTGATACATGACGCCAGCCGCTCCATTTTTAAACTCCCCAAAGCTGTAACACACCTCATCTCAGAGATAAAGACACACTCCTCAGATGGCCCGGCTGCCACTGAACTGCTTCATATTTGGTTGCAGAAGAAAGAGTGGAGGCAGCAGGGGCAGTCAGAGCAGCAGGAGGACGACAGAGTGAGCTCGGCTAGTTTCACTGACCTGGACTTCTGAGTGTGGAGTGTCCGATGCAGGCATTTTGAGCTTGGGCGAGAAGGAGCGTGGCAAGTTGATGCGTAAAAGGGCCAGCCACATTGTCTTCAAACTGCTGGAAAAATCAGATGACAGAAATCAGAGGTTCTCATTCTCCTCTCCACTGGATCATGGTAGAGAGCTCAAAAAGTCTTTGAAATGTACAAAAACAGAACAACTCCTTTACTGATCATCCCAGATGTGCAGTGGCAGAAGAAGTACTCATATCCTCAAATCTCCAAATACAACAATGTAAAACTACTCCAAGTAAAGGTCCCTCATTCAAAACCAGAGAGTACAGCAATATTATCAAGATGTACTTACTGATATAGTATCAAAAAGTGACATGGCCTCTGTGACTGATGTATTATTATATATGACATTGTTAAAGTGTGCATCAAGGTTAAAACAGCATTTTAGTAATATCTGCTTTAGCTGATACTGATTTACCTCAGGCCTTGATCAGTGTTTGAAGTAAAAATCATGTGAGAAGTTTGGACTTCTTTTGTGGAACTTCTAGCAACTCATAGATGTTCATAGATCATTGTTACATGTTGTGTTTTCTCCCCTACTGCACTTCTTTCTCTCTCCCTCAGTCTCCTATACTGTGTCAGTCAGTTGATTGGGTTCCATCTGTGGGGGCCGGTCGTGCTGCTCGGTGGGTTGCACCAACTGCAGGCTGCCCAATCGGCAGAAGGAGAGCCAAGAATAAAATCAGGAAGCCTCAGGAGTCGACTAGCTGAACTTTTGCAGACAAAAGAGTCTGTCAGCAGCCCTGTCGGTTCTCACACCTGTTGATAGTCTGGAGGCGGGTTGATGGTACGAAACACGGAGAGTCTCACAGGAAAGCTGTGGTTGGGCTGTTCGGAGGGGAGAGATGGCGGTGACATCTGCAGGACGTGAACGAGGAAATTCTAATCGGCAAAATGCGCGACATTTAAATCGAGAAGGAGCAACATCTTTGGAGGCAATTGAGCACGACTGCTCCGTGAATGGATTAGACATGGGCAGTTGGGCAGAAATGGATTATTGTCATGGGAGTGAAGAAGAGAATGAGGCGGAAAAATGAAAATTGAGGCAATCGTGTGAAGAATAATAAACGAACAAGAACTGACAATAATGAGAGTTCGGAAAGTGAGAGAGAAGGATATGAGCAAGGGCAGAGAGAAAGACCTGATAAATGCAAACAGATTCAAATGGAAGGGTAATTGAAGATTGGGATGATAGGGATTTGATCTGTATGAATGATGGTAGAGGAACAAGGAGAAACATAAGTTACAGAGTCAGCATTAGATATCACATTAGTGTCTAATGCATTGGCTGGAGTAAGTAAATGGGAAGTTTGGACAGCTACAAAAGTAGGCAGTGATCATTATCCAGTATCATGTTTGATCGGGAATCGAGTGGGAGTCAGACCAGGAGGTGGAATCTGTTGGGGATTTACCCTCGGGCAAAAAGCCCACCGTATAATCTGACTCCAAAAGACTACACCTTCAGAAGGACCCCGCGCAGATCGTTTTGATTGGAATTACATTTGATGAACAGAAGACGGTCGACGATCCATAAGTATTAACAATTTAATAAGTCAAGCATCAAAGCATAGAAAACATAGATCTATGGTTTCACAAAACACAAGAATTGATTAAGTATCCCTAGCAACAGACAGAAAGTCAGGGCTCGGTCCACGCATCTCTCCTCTTGGTGTTTTGTGAGCCCCGCCTAATCCTTTCCCTGTTACTTTATTCATTCTCATGAGGAGTTGACCTTGTCCTGCACATGGACGAGTTATCTTCACACACACGCACACGCCAGGGTTGGGGCCACTGTGTGTGTGGGAGTCCTCCAGTTCTCATGGACAGAGAAGAAGCTGTTCCTGCTTTCCACCTGTTGTTGCTACATAATATCGCACGGACTAACCCACTTCACAACACATCTAGTTACAAGTTTAAGCTAAACCACCTGTGTGTCAGAGCTTCTTCTTTGTACGAGGAGCGCGTGAGTGCCTCACCTGGAGATTCAAACCTTTGCTCTTTGACACACGCAACACTATTGCAAATGAGCACACACATAATACTTATACATTTAATGCCTGTAAATAGCGTTGGCATATTTCTACAAATCCCAAAGTGGATCTTTCAAAAAGCAAACTAGGATGAGTTCCAAAAATTAAGTGAGAGAACAATGACAAAGATCGCCTTTGCTGGAGATATAGATGACATAAACAAGCAGGTAACTTCAGCTGTTATTATGGCAGCCAATTTTTACTCCTGGGTATAGACCCAGGAGTAAAAATAGGATAAATAAGAAACTTGTTGCTGCCAGGCTGTTAAAAACAGGAACAAAGCATTTAGACAAGTCAGAAGAACCCATAACATGTAGCATTTGATTCAATATAAAAAGGCACAAGCAGTGGTGAGAAGAACCGTATGACATGATAAGAGAGATAGTTGGAGACATTTTTGCAATAAAATAGGAAGAACTACTCCTGTGGGAAAGGTATGGGGAATGATAAAGAGGATGGGAGGAGACGGAAAGGAATGGGATTACCCAGTTTTGACATCTGACGAGGAAACAGCAGTCTCCAACAGGGAAAAGGCAGAGATAATGGCCAAGGCATTTGTGAAGATTCATGGTTCAGATAAATTGTCGGAAGAAGAAAGGAGAAGGGAAAGAAGAATGAATCGAACACATCCAGATGTGTTAGACAGGAGGGAGAAAACGCATGATAAAATTGATGATCCTTTTACTTTGGATGGTTAGAGCAATAAATGGATCAAGACCTACAGCACCCGGGGACGATCAGGTATGCTACGTCATGCTAAGGCATTTGGGAAAAGGAACACTGCTGTGCCTTTATAACAGAGTGTGGGAGGAAGGAAAGTTACCGAGCGCATGGAAAGAGGCAGTAGTGATTCCGATTAGAAAACCTGGCAAAGATCCATCTAAACCCACCAGCTACAGACCAATAGCACTAACAGCTAATATGTGTAAGATAATGGAAAGGATGATAACAGAAATATTTTCATATGAGCTTGAGAAGAGAGAAATGATGGCAAGTTTTCAGAGTGGTTTTAGGAAGGGAAGGAACACCATGGACTCTGTGATAAGGCCAGAGGCTGAAATAAGAAAGGTCCAGGCAAATAAAGAGTCAGTCATTGCAATGTTTTTGACATAGAAGAAGCCTATGACATGGTGTGGAAGGAAGGTTTGCTAATTAAGCTGCACAAAATGGGAATTGGTGGGAGAGTTTATAACTGGGTAAAGGATTTTGTTTGGAAGAAAAGTTTAAGTATAGATTGGGTCAGACATGTCAAATCAATACTTTGATAATGGTACGCCTCAAGGTAGTGTGATTAGCCTGCTACTCTTCATCATTATGACATATTCACAAAGGTACCAGTAGATATAGGTAGTTCTCTGATTGCTGATGATGGGGCCTTGTGGACGAAAGGAAGGAACATGCAACATGCAGTCAGAAAAGTAGGAGCAGGAGCTGCTATTCTGTCCCGACAAGACACAATATCTGCTATTTGTTGGTGGAGCTAAATGCTGTTTACTCAAGTATTTGTTTGTATTGCTACATTTGCTTCAAATGTCTAACATAATAAAAGAAAGTATGTTGGAGTAACGGGAAAACATTTAATTCCATAAACGATATGAAGGATATTAAACAAGCTTGAGCTCCTGCTCAGTAGAAGCCTTTTCTGCCACACTGCCAATTTAACTCAAATCCAAGCATTCACTTCCAAAACTCCAATTATGAGAAGTTACCCCATAATAACCCTGCACAAACAAAGAATCATTAGCAAACCAAACAATTGATTCACCATTATTACCCTGCACCATCTGCATCCTTTACCCTCATTAACTGGTGTTACTGAAATTCAGTTTGTCCCCCATGACTCATTTGACCAGAGTACAAGTCGAAACAGAACTACCCACTGCATCAAGTCACAGCTTTAATATCAGGCTTGGACTGTGCAAACGTCAATAATAAAGTGTGTTGTGTGTGTTTTTTTTCTAAGGTGCATGTGTACTCATCAGTATTAACATATGGAGCAAATCACAGGAGACATCAGTAGCTTAAGGGCACCGATTTACACTCGTTCTTCTATTTTTTAATATTTTGTCAAACATTTTACACATCAGGAAATATGGAAACATTGATTTAAACAAAATGACAGTCTACAGTTCCAAATAATCTCAAGAAGTTCAGCGTGATGCCTGGGTTGACAATCACAAACGGACTTTTGGCAAACGCCCGACATGGTGAGGAGGGTTTCAAAGTCTTAGTGGTGATTTGGTGACTGTTGTTGTCCCCCCCTCAACGTGTCGGGTCTCTGTCCACCGTTATTTGGAGCTGGTGTCGGCTTTGGTGCCCTCGGACACCGCGTGTTTGGCCAGCTCCCCGGGGAGCAGCAGGCGCACAGCGGTCTGGATCTCCCTGGAGGTGATGGTGGAGCGCTTGTTGTCGTGCGCCAGGCGCGAAGCTTCCCCGGCGGTGCGCTCGAAGATGTCGTTGTCAAACGAGTTCATGATGCCCATGGCCGTGGAGGAGATCCTCGTGTCCGGGTGCAGCTGCTTCAGCACCTTGTACACGGAGATGGCGTAGCTTTCTTTCCTGTTCTTGCGACGCCTTTTGTCTCCTTTCTACTGAGTTTTGGTCTGAATCAGCGGTGAAGGATCGGCTCCAGTCACCGACCCGGAGTCAGCCCCGTATTTATAACGTGGCTGTGGAAATGTGAGTTCCTCCTGTGCGATTGGAACGTCTTTCGGCAGAGGACCGTCGGTACCACTCGGCGCGCTGCGCCATTGGCTCGCGCGTTTCAGATTCACTCGGCCAATCGGAGAAGCCTCTGCGGTCTGTATCCTCTCAAAAGCATTACGTAAAAGTCTCAACTCTCCCACTCACCGGTTCACGGCGTGTCCGCCTGATCAATAACTGTCTATAACGATGTCTGGCAGAGGGAAAACCGGAGGCAAAGCCCGAGCGAAGGCCAAGTCCCGCTCCTCCCGGGCCGGACTCCAGTTCCCGGTGGGCCGAGTCCACAGGCTTCTGCGGAAGGGCAACTATGCGGAGCGCGTCGGCGCCGGAGCTCCAGTGTATCTGGCGGCCGTGCTGGAGTATCTGACCGCTGAGATCCTGGAGCTGGCAGGCAACGCGGCCAGGGACAACAAGAAGACTAGGATCATCCCCAGGCACCTCCAGCTGGCCGTGCGCAATGACGAGGAGCTCAACAAGCTGCTGGGAGGTGTGACCATCGCTCAGGGGGGAGTGCTGCCCAACATCCAGTCGGTCCTCCTCCCTAAGAAGACGGAGAAACCGGCCAAGAGCAAGTAAAAGACTCGAGCCGGGACGAAGGGCTCACCTCGGAGCCTGCCACCTTTCCATACCACTGCTCGGTTTTTGGATAAACAATCTTTCGAATAGTGTACAGTGTTTGGTGTTGCTGTTTCTAGTATTTCTAGACACTCGCTTCCCATAGGCGCTGCTCACAGACTGCTCAGTCTCTGTCGTGTTGTCGGCGTATCAGAAGGCCGGGGAGAAAATCACATGTTAACTTGGACCAGTTCTTAGGGGAGGGGTTCTTATTGTTTCGCTGTACAAAACGTTACAGATCGTTGTGTTGTTTCTGTCATGTTGTCTCAATAAATGCCATGCAGCCTTGTGGCGCAGGGCGAATACAACCGGTCTGCATGAGGTTGTGTACTGTCAGCTTTATGTGAGAGAGAACTCACAGACTGCAGCTTGTGCAGGGTTTAAAGAGGTACTGTTCAGTATGTGGCTGTGAGCAGTCCTGCATTTTGTTTTAAGGTCAGCTCTTCCAAATCACGAGGATTTATTCCATCACGTGCCGTCTGTCATGCTGAAATTAAGAAAATCAAGGAAACCATGGCCACAGATGTCTGTAACTCCCAACATAAAGCGTGAATCTGAAACATCTCTTCAAGATTTCTACATGATGATGATAGAAGATGATGATTGGGACACATTCAGACAACTTTCTACTCTGTTCTGCCTCAGAATCATTTGAGCTGATGTAATTTATTTGTTAAAACTTTAATGTCTATATTTAGTTATATGAATTGTATAATACATGAGCACAAAGCAGCATGAAACATCAGAAACAACACCTGACAAGACACGTGATTCAGTCCAAATGTACTATTCTGGGCTGAAAATATGACTTAATGCACAGACGGTGTTTGCTCTCACATCTTCAGATGTTCACACAGCAAATATCACTTATCATCGTGAGTGTGACATATTAGGTCTCTGGGAATGTCCATTCATATCCACATTCAGGTATATGAATGTGATTAATCAGCTTCCTGATTAATCCTCTGGTTGGTCCAAAGGATCCTCCACCAGCTCCCTGGCATTCCAGCAGGTATTTAACCACATATTCTTATCATTCTCTGATGACATCAATGACATATCTATAGAGCTTAGCGGTTATGTAAACCTACAAAATTCGAGACCCATTGAAATTTTGAATTGCAATGAAATCTGCACTGCTTACTTCAAAAGTAAAGCGTGAGTAAATCATTCTTCTGTTTGTCATCATCACTGATCTTGCCAGCAAGCTTTTCATCCTCCACCGTGGACTTCATGGTAAAGGCATAGGACTAGAGGGCGTTCTTAGCAGACACCTTGTCCTCAGGTACTTCTCAGCTTCCTGCATTGAAATAAGCAAGATGAGCATTTAACCATCTGCTGTTGGGATAACACTGCAGCAGTTTAGCAGCATTTTTTTTTGCACCCTCATAAGTAATCAAAATCTTCATTGGGAGAAGTAAATATTTCCTGACATACTGTATATCACTTCCCCCTGCTGCAACCTTATCAAAAACTGTGTTGGTGGGGTGAATGGCAACTTGATTCTTGGCTGCATCTCCGATCAGCCTCTCTGTGAAGGCCACATACGTAGCTGGGTGTGGTCCTGTTGCCCTGATCATTGGCAATGATTTCAACTTTGCCATGCTGGAACATCAAGATTATTATCTTCTTTATTCAGTGACTACGATCGTTGGATAGCATAACTACAACAATCATTTTCAGACATGAGCTAATGGTATTGGGATTGCTGATAGTATGCTCCCTGGCGGTTGTTCATTTTTTGATTGGTGTTTAAATCATAAGGTTTTTGATACATCTGATCTTTATCGCTGCAACCTAAACAGCACTTGTCACCTCTGCTCATGGACTACAGATGAAAATGAGCATTTAGCAATATCTGGTAGGATATATGTATAGTACAGTGTCCCTGCTAAATTGAAAATGAATAAATAAATAATATGTATGAATCCTGAACTTTTAACCTTGTACTTTTACTAGGTATCACATGATAGTCCCTTAAACCAAAAAGTCTATGGAAACCACAGGGCTGTGATGTCATGGAAGGTCCCTCAGTAGAGTACAAATAGATTGAGAGATGAGGAAACGCGGCAGAGTCGAAGTGTGATTGTTAGTGAGATGGAACTGAAGCTACAGCTCAGCGTCTTCGTGTTGCTCATACAGGGTGAGTCCTTCACTTTCAATACTTGTTGACAGGTACGCTTTGTTATGAAAAGTAGTTAATGCTGAACCTGATAATTAAAAAACGGCAGATGATACTGGAAGTTATGGTTTTGCTCATGGCTTCCTAACATATGACAGTGACAGTAGTCGTCTTTCTATGGCAATGTGTGATGTTTCAAAATGTGAATGTTTATCGGGGAATATTTGGGCCAAGTAATAAACTCTGTTTCTGACAAATCAAATGGTTGCACTTGTCGTCATCAAAAAAGTAATGTTGCCTGAGCTCGTGCTTTTTAAGGCATTCAATTTGTATGTTTTACATGAAAGGTTTTTGAATCAGTCAACAGCACCTTTGATGAATTGCATCCCCATTTGGATTTCCATCCAACTTCCCCACGTTTTTACATTTTATTTAATGATTTTAGACATTTCATTCACCCACATTCTAACACGTTCTTTATGTATGTATACTGCAAATAACAGCTTATTTGCTCTTATGTGATGTGATTGATTTACATTGCATATAGTATTTCCTTTGAAATAAAATGTTCTTTATAAATCAGGTTTTAAGAACTTGAAAAAATTCTGAAGACCAATAACTAAAGTCTAGAGAAAACTCTCAAAAACATGTTGCCATACAGTACGGTAAAAAAGGTATAACTCGTATCATTTTCATATGTTCCAATGTTCAGCTAATATAATGTTATATCTATAACACAACCCACGAGTGTGAACAAGTCTTCATAACTTCTGACCCTTGAAGCCCCCTGTCCTCACTGCGGGTGTCAGTATGCCCCCACAAGTGTTTTTTCCAAATAGCTCGTCATTCTCACCCCATAGGAAAGAAAAAGCACTCAAAGCCCCTGAGAACAACCCACAGTATTTCTCCGACACCCACCTTTACTTTCTCTTTCACCATGAAAGAACTCACCACATTACTTCCTGTCACATGAAAATATGCGTTATGTGTGTGACAGGGGGTTGCTTCTTTTGTAGTTGCAGTACAGTGAAGAACAGTAGTTTTTCTTTCCTGTCACACCACCTCCACACACACACACACACACACACACACACACACACACACACTCACAGTCCCAGGCACAGATGAGTCAAATTGTGAGAAACAGGGTTCGGACACCTCTGTGTGCGAGGGAGGGAAACATGCTTCATCTACTCTGGACGTTAATTCCACTAGTAGGTTGCTTGTGAGGTCTAAAGGAGTTGTTGCCTAGAATTGGTGTAATTTTATGAAATGTTATGTGTATCATTAAACTGCAGTGGCGTGAAAATGACATTGTGCTCTCAGTGGGAATTTACAATGAAATTGATGTTTCTATTTGTTTGATTGCAGTTTCACTTGCGGTGTGGCTGCGTGTGACTGTAAAAAAAGGTCAGACACTCAGCTTAAGCTGCCCAGTTACTAACGCTCACATGACCCATGTCGACTGGAAGAACCCTGAAGGATATATTATGTTCTTCAATCATAATCAAGGTGAATATGACATATCTCTTGCTTCAATTACTCAATCACTCAACTAAACAGCAACCCAAATTGTCTCTGACTTTTTAGTTACGGATATTAAACATCTTTTTATTTTCCCTCCCTCGCTCCCAGCTTTAAAGGACAAGCGCTACAGCATCGACAAACTGTCTCAATCAGAATTCACCATCAGAATTTCCAACATGAACTTCAAAGATGGAGGCAACTACACGTGCTCTCAGTATGATGCTCACACAACAGAGAAGAAAGTGGAGGTGACAGTGTTAGGTGAGAATAATGGATTTTGTCACAGATTGCATGATCTGTAGTAGTTCAAGCCAACTATGTGACATTGACAAAGATTTTTACTAACCTTCACTACGACTCGTCCCGACCATTGATGATGTGATTCATAATAATGTCATAACATCTGCTCTGGTGTTGATTGTTTTAAAGGCCGTCCCAAAATGGAAGTAGCTAAGCATGAAGGAAAGTATGTCATAAAATGCACAGCTGAGGGGAACCACTATCCTCCCCAAATCTCCTGGAAATTGGACAATGGACCTGAAATTATTGGTAAGTTTGTAATAACAGAAGATGTGGACTTAGAAAAAATTGCAAAAGCTACGCTGTAATGAAGAAGTGAACCAAAGTTAGGCATATAAGGTAAAATACCATGAATCTGATGCATAAAGGCTCATAACTTGCCACCTTTAGCTGCGTGCTGGTGGTGTTCTTTGCTCTCTGCTATTCTGAATCTCTACTTAAAGAAAATGTTCTACACTAGAGAGATGAAATGTCACCTTCTGATTTTGGTGTCATTCAATCTTTTTGTGCCCAGAGCAGTGAATATATGAACAAAAATAACAGTATACTTGGACATTGTCATTGTTTTTGAACAGCCAGCCCTTTGCAAATGCTCTTTTGTAGGTGTTTTGAAATCAGACTCGGCAACCACAGAGTGGGCTCATCTCTCCATGACATAATCTTTATCACCTTATGGTGGGTTAGTGGGTTGGCGGATGTTAAGCCCTGGTGATGGCCATAACCTTCAACATTGTCCTTTAATGACCGAACTAGATTATATAGATTATAGAGAAGATTAACAGTTGAAACTTTCTTTCGACGGTTCTCAACAATGTCATATTTTGATTGTTCTTTGTAACGTCATACACCTGCATAAAAATAATGACATCTGTCCTATTCCACAGCTCCTGGCCAAGAAGAAGTTAGAAAATATGAAGACAACAAATATGTCTCAATGGATATGCTACAAATTCACTCAGTTGACAACAGGATCACAGTCAAATGCCTTGTTCGCCATCCAGCTCTGCACTCACAACCTCTGATGAACTTTGTCAAAATTAGACCAGACCGTGAGTACAATTTATTCACTTCCAACTTTCACCGCCAGAGAAATGGAGTAAAAATGCATTAACCAAAACTTGTTTACTTGAAGTACTTCTGCTTAATGGCTGATATTTGAGGAACATTGACAATGTAGTTGTGTCGTCACAAAGCAGGGAAAGCACTGGAGAGGGTTATTTTCTCACAAGTTTCTCCATGACACTGTCCACAGCACCAGGCTGTGAAACTGACCTGTGAAAACTGCCCCATGTGATTTCCTCTTTCTATGTGCTGCAAATGGTCGGGTTTCCTGTATTCTAGAAAAATAAATAAAATACAGATGTGTTATCTGCAGATTGTTAAAATCAGTCAGCAAGAGTTTTCACTTAGACTGTCCATGTATTTAATGCTACTTCTGCTTAGTAATAATTGAAATCCCCTTGATGTCACAGCAACGAAGAGTCGGCGCACAACCACGACCACTTCCCCTACAACCCAGCCTCGAGGGTCAACAAAGGTGCCAGGAACAACAACCGAATGGTTCAGACACAGGAGAACAACAGTGTACCTTGCAACCAGAGACGTGAAGGGGCCGTCATCAGAGAGCTCTATAACGTTATCAACTGCTCCCTCCAATCAACTATTTTCCTCCTATGAGCCAAAGACAGTCACAGCACCCAGTGGACGTCCTCTGGTCCATGTTACATCCACAGGCTCACATCTCAGCACTAGTGGTGAGTGGGTCAGTTTTCATTGATGTATCATTTTTATGTTACATGGACTTTAAGTGACAAGATATTCCACATCGGATGATACGCAGACATGAGATGAGGAACACAAAGGAACAGTCCTAAAGAATCTTTAAACAACAACAACAAAAAGGTTATTTTAATGTTACATGGCAGAATAAATGTTTCAAATAGTAAATTATGGCATGCCTGAAAGACTCAAAATTCATAAAACATAATATTAATGTCTACATGACATTTCTTTAAATCATTTTTTATTCATACAAATATTTTTTCTCTTTCACTTATTTTTCTTATTATTGAAATACCTGAATCTGAGCCCATAAGATGGAAACTACAGATACAGATAGCTTCACAATGCATTTAGATCAGGCGCATAACCACCACTAGTTGTGATACTAAATCTGTTTCCTGTGACGGAAGTCTCCAAATATAGTGTGAAACTCTGTCAAGTGATACACAGAGTTTTGCATATAAAGATACACTGAGTATAGAGAGATCCCAGCTCAAAAAACTGCTGTTTACATTTTCAACCAAACTGCTGAAACTCTGAAAGCCGGTCAAAAGAACACTGCTATCTTCTATGTTAACCGTGGCTTGGATTTGGCCAGCGAGAACCCAGCACTGTCACAGGAGTCACAGCGGGCTTGTGGAGGGTCCGGTCAAACCTTTGTTGCGGCAGCAACAGAAAGCTTGCTGATCCGGTGGGGAGTCGGGGCAGTTCCCTGGGATCAGACTCCCAGAGCTGGGGTCTAGACCGCTGGCTGAATTTGGGCTGACTGCTAACTGCAATCCGCTTACCTCTCTGCAAAGCAGCCTCCTTGGTGGCGAGGAGGACGTTATTTTCCTGTTTCATCCGATTTGGATTTAATCCATTAAACAAACTATCAAAATATACACGGCCCATGAATCTATTATATCTACTTCTTTGTTCTCTCATGTTCTGGAGGGCAGACTGGACACTATGACTCTCGAGGTTCAAGTGGTATTACAAGACAGGACGGGGTTACCTGCATGCTCATTTCAATAGATATCTCTGCAACACAGTACCTTGAGGTTATTGACATCTCTTCACATTCTGTTGACAATGTTAGTTAATTTGTTTAATGTCCTAAACTAAGATTCTGGCCACATCTTACATGTTGCACCTTTAAAAGAAAAAGTAGCTTTTATGAAAACTATTTTCTCATGAGGCTTATCAAATTGTCTTTATTTCTTATAGCTGACTCAGCAACCTCTATTGTATCAGGCTCGACCAGGAGGAGGAATGACATTGTCAGTAATGCAACAAACACAACAGGTATGATATGAGTGTATTGTAAGATTCTATGCAAAACTACTCTTGACAGATGTCTGATCCCACCTAGTGGTACGTCTGAACAACCACAGCTGCATTGTTCCACTTAGAAAACAGGGTTGACTGTAGGAGATTTTTTAAGTGTTATTTAGTGTACCTTTCTTCTCCATAATGCCTCATAGGCTGGACTTCTGTCTCTGAGACAACAGAGGACATCACATCCAATAACAGTACGGATGGAAACAGAACAGGTACATTCACATTTTTAACATGGGTTGCCTGAAGTTCAGTTGGCCTGCTATGAAAATGAGAATGAGATAACAGTCTTTAAAGTGATTCAGGTTTTGCTGAACTAACTAGCATTGTGTCAATTTCCAGGGAGCTTTAATGACCCAAAGATGCCGACAAGAACCGGAGGAAGTCCATCATTACTGGTCTTCCTGGTTACATGCCTGATCTTCGGTCTCCTGGTGGTCGTCATTTTCTTTGCCATCAAGCTGAGGAGAGCGCACATTGCCTGGAAAAGAGGTAAGCAGACCATATTCTCATTTTCTGCACAGCATCTTGTAATTACACCACAAAGGTACAAGTGCTTTCCTGTTGAAATTATATTTTTAAAAAAGTATGACAGTTTTTTTTGTTACAGAGAATGAGGACACTGATCCATCAGAGGAGAGCAGTAAATCAAAATCAAGCCAGGAAGAGAGGAACGCCCAAGGACAGAGGCGAAGAGGTGAGCAGATGATTCAGCACTCTTTTTAAAGCAGAGGAAATGTGGAAAAGTACTGAGAAACATTCATGCCAGCAGAGACTGGAATACAACTGCAAACATTTGAATTTATCTTGTCCCCATGACATGCTTTGTAAAGACATGGATCACTTACAGAAATGTTTGAAATTTAATGGGACTGAATACAACTTTTAGCTTTTAGAAATGAATGAAGCTCAGTAAAACATGGTTAGGTGGAGACTGTTTGCTGATTGTTGGAAAAATTCGGGAATAAAGGTCATTTGAGCTGACCAAGGAACCCAACCAGAAATTCTGAGTTCAATTCAACAACATCAAAACATTTAATTCTATTAAAATGTATTAAACCCTTTACATTAACTACTGGTCAGCCCTTCTTTTATTGCTGTTTCTGTACGTGTACATCATGTGTATCTGTATGTTAGCACATATATTAGTATATTCTAGTTGTCTTATTACACTACCACCTAATTTTTCTCCTGAATTCCTGAAATCTTTAAAAAAAAACTATTTTACTTCACAGTCTCAGGTGATTCATTAAACTTGCAGGACTGGTCTTTCCACAGAAAAAGGGCAGTAATCTCTTTATGCAATGAATCACTGATTGTAAAAGTCTCTCTCTCTCTCTCTCTCTCTCTCTCTCTCTCTCTCTCTCTCTCTCAGGGCTCTTCAACAAGGCATTCACACAGTACGTTGTTGAGAAACCAACAGTGATAAGCTCAGTGATGAACACAAATGCGATGGCAGCAGCAGAGAGTGTAAATAAAGAGCAGCCTTCTCAACCTCAAACCCCGGGACAAACTTTAGCCAAGTGTGACATAAAGGAGACAGAGCTATGACAATCTGTAAAATACAGTACAATATCAGTAATATCATGAGCACCATTAGAATGCTCACAGATTAAACTGATTAGCTTTTTACTGGAGCAAAGAGTGTATGTTTACACAGAAAATAATGTGGTAACTTGCTTATAACCGTGTAAATATTGTATACATTTTGTCTTGACATGAACCAATAAATTATGTTTTAGAACAGACTGGCATGCTTTGTTTGAACATGGATGAGTGATTCTTAACATGGATGAGTGATTTTTAACTGATGAGTGATTCTTAACTGAATGTCCAATCGGCACCCTAAGACCAGCCCAGCAGTCAAAAGTTAGTGACCACAGACTATAAAACACCAGGGCACCCGCTGTTCACCCACCTTTTACAATCAACAACTAGAATAGAACAGTGCATTTATTCATAGAGCTGGAGTTACATCCAGTATTATTTCTACTATTTCTATCTAGGGATGTGATGTACTCCTGGCTGGGTTCAAATCTACACATAGCAACTCAAAACCAATTGCTAACTGTGCGGAAATAAGTGAAGTGTCCAGGCCACAGAGCACCACCTGTCTGGGTCCACAGCCTAACCACATGCCTTCAAGCTAGAAGCCAAACATAACCAAGTGTGTAAATTCAAACCGGATGGTGCCCCTGCAGACGTTCCATTAGGCCATGAAATAGATGATGATGACCAAGATGGCGGTGTGTGCAAAACGAAAGGCTCAGCATCTCTCCTGATTCTGTAAATTAATTATCTGCCTATTTGTTTCAAGTATGTTTACTCAAAGCAGTCTTGCAGATAATATACAGCCAACTAGACTTTTTGGACCTTGGATTTCACAACTTGGTCAACTTTATCAGGTAATTTCAGAGATACAAACTAAAACTCCGTAAGCTATCTCTACCCAGCATTTTCCTTGGCAATGTACGATCTGTGGTGAACAAAAAGGTTGAGCAAATCATAACAGGATCTGTTCCTTTCCCTAGGACAGTCTGACCACCTCTCATCGTTCCTCCTCCTCGAGTAAACACTTATCAAATATGTGAAACATTAAGTGGGAACAGTTGAAGTTATTAAAGGAAATTACAACACTGCCAGAATCAGTTGATCTGGTGGAACACAGGAAGCCAACAGAGGTTTTTTTTAAGGCTGGAGTGATATTGTGCCAAGTTTTGGTGTCTGGTGAATGCGTTCTGGAACAGTGAATATTGTTCATACCATGTAAACATATTCGTAACTACCCATTCTGTTTATTCTGTGTATTACCCCCAATGTGTACATTGCTCTGCACAAATCACCGCTGCTGGCCTTTTCTTATTTCCTCAATAACTCCTCAATAGAAAAATAATATAAACTCATTCTTTTGTCTAACGTTATACATAGTTAATATGGATAGAAAATATCGGATATCGTTTACCTAACTACATCCATCACCAGATATAGTCAAGCCATGTGGTCTTTCATTTTGATTATGAAATACAGATCATAAAACAGGAAGTATGCTGGATCGTTAACCACGTCATCAACTATACTAAGCGTCATTGGTGGACCGTTGGGTAAAGACTCAAAGACTCGACGTCTCATTGGCTGCTTTGCCGGTCATATATAAAGCTGCGATAACGGTTGAGCCATCCTTTCCCTTCTCATACCGGCCAGGACAAGCAAGCCTCGCCGCTGTCCATTCCAACATAGCACCTAAAATCACATTCGGTTCATCAATTCGGTAAGTTATTATTTAAATAGTCACAGGATTATGTATATATTTTAGTTAAACTCCCCACACCCCTCGTGGGTCTCTTCAAAGGGGTGAGGGACGTTGGCCTTAGTGTTTTGCTCACTCACTGTCTTTCGGTAACGTTATTTACTGACATTCGAAATGTACTTTTGTTTTTTAATTACTCTGCTGATCTTTAACGATAAAGATGATTAACAATGTAGAAAATTTTACTTTTATGCTGGTAAAGATAGGGACGTTACTCACGAGCATTAGCTAACATTAGCTACTTAGCGGCGTGGGAACGGTGGGGGTAGGGATCCTGAGATGTTCGAGAATGTTCTCAAACAAACTGTCAAGCTAGCCGGTATGAATAAACTTCCGGTTAACTTTTCAGAACAAAAGTCTTATTATCGCCATTCGCTTGAGATTATTTGTAGGCTCTTACTGTTCAATCTTAACAATTATGATCAAACTGTTTGATGGTAATGTGTTAGATGGTTTATTGCTCTTATGTAGTAATAAACCAACTAGAAAGTTGCTTTTTTTTCCCAATTTTCGGTCTTAACTCCGGCTGTCTGTGGTAAATTTGATGTGTCATGGAATGTCTAGCGCGATGCTCTCAAGATGCCTGATCTGTGGCAGCTAGGTTATGCTTAGTCCAGCATAACCTCCCTAGTGAAGATGCCCGACGTGCGCGCCAGGAAATGACTTGGTCAAGGCCGGCGCATGGTGCCTGTAGGCTCCCCAACACTTGGTCGTGTACCTCTGAATTTTTGTTACTTGGTGCCCAAGATAACTGAAAAAAATCCAAGCACTATTTACATCTCTTGGGATTATAAAATGCTAATTCGTTTTTAAATGCTTTAGAAACTGGAGGTCTTTTAAAATCTTCTTTTGCAGCCACATCTAATTATTCAGCTCCTCAATTTTTGTACTTCAGTGTCATGTACTGGCAACACAAACTGGAAAAAGTCAAACTGAATCAATGACATTAACAAATAAAGCACTTCCTTTTATTTGTGTAGGAATCATGTCTAAGGGACCAGCAGTTGGTATCGATCTTGGGACCACCTACTCCTGTGTTGGTGTGTTCCAGCATGGCAAAGTTGAAATTATCGCCAATGATCAGGGCAACAGGACCACACCCAGCTATGTGGCCTTCACAGATTCAGAGAGGCTGATCGGAGATGCAGCCAAGAATCAAGTTGCCATGAACCCCACCAACACAGTTTTTGGTATGAATTACATTTTTCGCTTTGTATTTAATAGTAATAATGTAGTCTTATGTCATTCTTGTCAAGCTTGTCTGCTGAAAAATGGCAACATGTTAAGCTTTTTTCTCCTGACTCAAATAAAGTAATCTGGTTTTTGCACCTCAAAGTGCAGCCCAATACTGCATGAGTGACTGGCACCTGTCAGTGCATGGTGTTGAAGTTTTGACTCCTATGAACATGTCAGAATGACAGACTGAAATATAAATGGTCGTAGATGACCTGTCGAAAGCACTTCCTCACTGTGATGACGATTTTCCTGCCATTCGTAGTTTCCACCAGAGGTTGAAAGACCAAAGATGGCTTAAATCCTTCCTTGGATGTCTGATTGATCTTAATGGAAGCTGACATTAAAGTAGATGTTTTGTGATTTTTAAAATAAACACTTTTTTTTACAGATGCTAAACGGCTGATTGGTCGCAGGTTTGACGACGCTGTTGTGCAGTCTGATATGAAGCACTGGCCATTTAATGTCATCAATGACAACACTCGCCCCAAGGTTCAAGTAGAGTACAAGGGCGAGTCAAAGTCTTTCTACCCAGAGGAGGTCTCGTCTATGGTGCTGACAAAGATGAAGGAGATTGCTGAAGCCTACCTCGGAAAAGTATGTAATTTGGCATAACCCAGGACCAAAACATGCAATCTTTGATGGAAATGTTAATGTCTGGCTTGTTTTTGTTTAAGACTGTCAACAATGCTGTAATTACGGTACCTGCCTACTTCAACGACTCCCAGCGCCAGGCCACTAAGGATGCTGGGACAATCTCTGGCCTCAATGTCCTGCGTATCATCAATGAACCAACCGCTGCTGCCATCGCCTATGGGTTGGACAAGAAGGTAGAAAACATGGAACAATTCTGACTATACGTGAATGATCAATATTATAATTTATGTAAATTTTATATGTACGCAATGTCCATATAAAATGTACATACACCAGAGGGAGAGAGAGAGAGAGAACATGACTAAGGTGTAACACCTCTGACCAAATATAGGAAGTTCATCATAAATGAGTAGGTTTAGAGAATGTTATCGATATTTTAATTTCAGGTTGGCGCTGAAAGGAACGTCCTCATCTTCGATCTTGGTGGTGGCACCTTTGATGTGTCCATCTTGACTATTGAAGATGGCATCTTTGAGGTCAAGTCCACTGCTGGAGATACACATCTTGGTGGGGAAGATTTTGACAACCGCATGGTCAACCACTTTATCGCTGAGTTCAAGCGCAAGTACAAGAAGGACATCAGCGACAACAAGCGAGCCGTCCGTCGTCTGCGCACCGCTTGCGAGAGGGCGAAGCGCACCCTGTCTTCCAGCACCCAGGCCAGCATCGAAATTGACTCTTTGTATGAGGGAGTTGATTTCTACACATCAATCACTAGGGCTCGTTTTGAAGAGCTCAACGCTGACCTCTTCCGTGGCACCTTGGACCCCGTGGAGAAGTCACTCCGTGACGCTAAGATGGATAAGGGGCAGATTCATGACATTGTGTTGGTCGGTGGCTCAACCCGTATCCCCAAGATCCAGAAGCTGCTCCAGGATTTCTTCAATGGAAAGGAGCTCAACAAGAGCATCAATCCAGATGAAGCTGTGGCTTATGGTGCTGGTAAGTGTCTTCAGCCAAATGGATGCGCACATCAGTTTATATTTCCTTCTCTCAGTTGCTTGCATTATGAGCACTGCACAACAATAGCAGCTGGAGATCATGAGCCTTGGTGACCTATACTTTATTTTTTGTTTCGAACTTAAAATTGTCTTTGTCTAACCGCTGCTTGTTTTTCCAGCTGTCCAGGCTGCCATCCTGTCTGGTGACAAGTCTGAGAATGTCCAGGACCTGCTGCTTCTGGACGTCACCCCTCTGTCTCTAGGTATTGAGACTGCTGGAGGTGTCATGACTGTGCTGATCAAACGTAACACCACCATTCCTACAAAACAGACTCAAACCTTCACCACCTACTCTGACAACCAGCCTGGTGTGCTCATCCAGGTAAGCGCAACATGAACTATACCAGTCTCTCAATTTTGCAGTGATGATGTTTATTCCTGCCAATTCGTAGTTTCCACCAGAGGTTGCAAGACCAAAGATGGCCCTGACCTTCCTTGGATGTCTGAGCGAAATACAGTTGTCAAAACTGTAGACGCATTGTTCCAAAAATTATCTGCTTAACCTGCATACTTCAAACAGGTCTACGAGGGTGAGCGTGCCATGACCAGGGACAACAATCTCCTGGGCAAGTTTGAGCTGACGGGCATCCCTCCTGCCCCCCGTGGTGTTCCCCAGATTGAGGTGACATTTGACATTGATGCCAATGGCATCATGAATGTGTCTGCTGTAGACAAGAGCACCGGCAAGGAGAACAAGATCACAATCACCAATGACAAGGGTGAGTTTTTCTTTAGACTCAAAACCTAATCTCAAATGTGCTGTAACACAATTACTAACAATTTGCAATTTGGACCTAGGTCGCCTCAGCAAGGAGGACATTGAACGCATGGTCCAGGAAGCTGAGAAGTACAAGGCTGAAGACGACGTTCAACGTGACAAGGTGTCTTCTAAGAACGCCCTGGAGTCCTATGCCTTTAACATGAAGTCCACGGTGGAGGATGAAAAGCTTGCTGGCAAGATCAGTGACGACGACAAAACAAAGATTTTGGACAAGTGCAAAGAGGTCATCAGCTGGCTGGACAAGAACCAGGTAAATAGTCTATCTTTTGTAGGCTATTTATTCATTTTTGGCTGTGAAAAATTTGCCAGAACACTTGCATGTCTTTGTTTTGCAGACTGCCGAGAGGGATGAGTATGAGCATCAACAGAAGGAGCTGGAGAAGGTGTGCAACCCCATCATCACCAAGCTGTACCAGAGTGCCGGTGGTATGCCAGAAGGCATGGCTGGTGGGTTTCCTGGAGCTGGTGGTGCCGCACCTGGCGGTGGTGGATCCTCCGGACCAACCATCGAGGAGGTTGACTAAACATTCATCTCTTCAACTGCTACTCCTGGATGTTTTCTAAGAAAGTAACCCTCTTTTAGCACAGTTACAGCGAGCTAAAGGGTGTATTTAAAATAAATAAAAACTGGGTTCAGGGATCACTTATTGCATGGTTTGCGACACAACTGGGAACAACTTGTTGTTTGCACAATTGGGCTGTCGGTTCACATGTGTGGTAAATTGTTTTGTATACTGAGATGTCACTGCCTTGACAATAAAAATCTTAACCCTCTGCTGACCAAATTTCTTCATGCTCTGTAGAATCCTTCAACTTCCATCAGACAATGACTAATTTAGTAACTTGGTGTTGCATTGAATAATCTGTATTTGAAGTTTCTTTAATGGCTGCATTGTGCTTGCTGGCTCTTAGTAAAATTGTAACTAAGGTTTTCACCAGAAGCCCAGTATCTGTCTTATATGCAGGTAGGATTAGAATATTTTGAGGTGATTTGTGCTGAGATGAAAGCATTTTTCAAGGATTAATAATTTAATCACAAAACAGAAAACGTACCCCTGGTGTGGGAATCATATTTGGGTATACAGGTGCATCTCAATAAATTTAGAATATCATTGACAAGTTAGTTTATTTCAGTAATTCAAAAAGTGAAACGCTTATTAGATTCATTACACACATTTCAAGTGTTTATTTTAATTTTATTTTGATTGGAGTTACAACTAATGAAAATCCAGTATCAGAAAATATTACAAAATGCCAATTAAAAGGATTGTTGATACAGAAATGTTGGCGTACTGCACTAAATACTTGGTCGGGGCTCCTTTTGCATGAATTACTGCATCAATGCGGCGTGCCATGGAGGCGATCAGCCTGCTGAGGTGTTATGGAAGCCCAGGTTGCTTTGTTAGTGGCCTTCAGCTTGTCTGCATTGTTGGGTCTGGTGTCTCATCTTCCTCTTGACAATACCCCATTGTCTATGGGGTTTAGGTCAGGCCAGTTTGCTGGCCAATCAAGCATAGTAATACTGTGGTCATTAAACCAGGCATTGGCACTTTTGGCAGTGTGGCCAGGTGCCAAGTCCTGCTGGAAAATGAAATCAGCATCTTCATAAAGTTTGTCAGCAGAGGGAAGCATGAAGTGCTCTAAAATGTCCTGGTAGACGGCTGCGCTGACTTTGGACTTGATAAAACACAGTGGAGCAACACCAGCAGATGACATGGCTCCCCAAATCATCACTGACTGGAAACTTCACACTGGACCTCAAGCAACTTGGATTGTGTGCCTCTCCACTCTTCCTCCAGACTCAGGGACTTTGATTTCCAAATGAAATGCAAAATTTACTTTCATCTGAAAGGAGGACATTAGACCACTGAGCAACATTCCAGTCCTTTTTCTCCTTAGCTAAGATGCTTCTGATGTTGTCTCTGGTTCAGGAGTGGCTTGACACAAGGAATGGAACAGTTGTAGCCCATATCCTGGATATGTCTGTGTGTGGCGGCTCTTGAAGCACTGACTCCAGCCGCAGTCCACTCCTTGTGAATCTCCCCCAAATTCTTGAATGGGCTTTGCTTTACAATCCTCACAAGGCTGCGGTTATCCCAGTTGCTTGTGCACCTTTTTCTACCACACTTTTTCCTTCCACTCAACTTTCCATTAATATGCTTGGATACAGAACTGAACAGCCAGCTTCTTTAGCAATGACCTTTTGTGGCTTACCCTCCTTGTGGAGGGTGTCAATGTCCCCCATGATTGTGTAGCCTACTGAACCAGACTGAGAGACCATTTAAAGACTCAGTTTTGAGTTCATTAGCTGATTAGAGTGTGACACAATGAGTCTACAATATTCAACTTATTCACAATATTCAAATTTTCTGAGATACTGAATTTTGGGTTCTCATTAGCTGTAAACCATAATCATTGAAATTAAAAGAAATAAATGCTTGAAATATATCACCCTGTGTGTAATGAATCTATATAATATATGACTTTCACTTTTTGAATTGAATTACTGAAATAAATTAACCTTTCGATTATATTCTAATTCATTGAGATGCACCTTTATAGCGACATCTACTGGTCGAAGCTGCGTTCTTGACTATCTCAGCCAAAGTTGTATGTGAACCTCTACTTAACAACACATGACAGTTAATTTAGTGAGACGACGAGACGTGGAGCGCATGCAAAAAGTGTGAAATGGTGAGGGAGATTCTCAATATTATGGTAAGTGATATGACGATATATATTGTTGAATAACGGCAGTTTTTAAAATTGTCACTAATATGAAGTTCCAATACGACTATTCATTTGTAGATACATCTGTTTGGCTGTGAAGAAATGTCTGCCGCAAAAATACATCTATAGTGTATTAATTCTCATAAAAAAAGTCTTAGCTTTTCTAAGGAGCACTTGAAGGCACCATGTGTGCGTCGGCGTTTCCATGGTTGCGTTGCTGCGGAGTGCTGACAGGAAAACAGGTTAGTATCTGAAGTTCACTTAGCATTAGCTCTACTTTACTCTCTGAAGGTTTGTTTAACACGACACATTCCATTGTTCTCTTCATTGTCACTGTTAATAGGAGTGCAGTGGATATGTTCACGTGGTTTGAACTGAAGTATATTCAGGTTTTACCTCAACGCTCGCGTCGTTTGGCAAAATAGCTGCTAAGCTAGCTGACAGATGGCTTTAACGTTATACTAACGTTAGTTGAGTTAATGAGATAGGTTATAGTTAAACGATGGCAAAGAAAGAGACATAACTGACTATTTTCCACCTTACAAACATTTCTTACATACACCTATTTATTTATTTAATTTTAACGTGACGAGTGCCCTGTAAAACGATGGGTGCTTTAATTTCGCTTGAAATGAATGTATAAGAATTAGTTACATAACATCAGTTTTACTCGCGGTTATATTCCAACATGCAATGCACTCAGGCCTAGATCAATCTATTCCTACCAGTCTGTAAGGGACTAGATACAGTTGCTGTAATGTGTATTCGATGAAAATAATTAGTGAGTTTATAAAGGGATTAAGCTGTTCTAGTTCCTCAAACATCTGTATGTTGTGGTACCTTTTACGACATTGTGGGCATAATCAACGCCATTAGTGATGTCTGCTATCTGTTCAAGTGCGTCACTTCCAGATTTTTTTATTTCAACTTTTCTCTTTATTTTTCTCACTCTCCTACTCCCCGTTTTCAGAGTGGACATTTTGACACGTCACAGGAGGAAAAACAGGTGAAAATACAAAAAATTAATGATGCTGAATTCCATTCAGGTGTCACAGTTTCTGGGTCCGGGTATTGTGCAAGCCATGGCTTTACTGGAACACTTTGATAGACTGGAGCCATGGATATTGTCGTAGTGACAGCTGTGTTCCATACTGTGATAAGTCAAAATGTCTGCTCTGAGAAAAAGGCAGATTGACAATTTCCTGTTAGTTTTCACCATTGGTGTAGACTAATTTGTTAAGTACAGTATATTCCAGTTGGCATTCTTGGCCGGTGAAAGAAGTTACCCGATTATACTGTGTATGAAAGATGAATCATAATACAGCCAGTATCCTTATGCTTGAGACAATATTGACACATGTTTAGTGTCAGCTTTCTGTGAGTTATTCAAGTGCACATTGTGAACTTTGGTTAGAAAGGGGGTCAAAAATGTAAAGAACATGCGTGCTAGATCATGAGGTTTTTAAAGCATCAATAATATCTTTGACCTGCACTTTACCCAGACAGAAATGTTCTGTTCAAAGCCGTGAAATCAAGACATAAATGCTCAACATACTTCTGCTGCTTTTGTAGCCTGCTGTTCTTCTTGTACAATAAATCTGTCTTTTTTTGTTGTTTGTTAGTTGCAGTGTTTATAATTGCCATCCTGTTGCAAACTTCTCCAATTGAATGTTGGATGGATAAGGGACTGAAACATGAAAAGATGTCTCAAATGTTGAAGACGGAGCAAGAGAAGCATCCTTCTCCAAGACCAGCAGTTCTGGCCGACCAGAGGGACTCTGTGGAGTCCGACACAGAGAGCTTGGCTCACGAGAGAACTTACCAGCAGCAGCTACAAATGCGTAATGACCAAATCAAATACACACTGCCTGAAAAGAAGAATGCTGAAGGCCTACAGCAGGGAGATGAAGATGCGTGCAATGATGATGAAACTGAGGATCATCAGGTTTATGATAGCCTTGATACAGCAGCACACCCCCATGACAAACATACCCCCACCCTGTTACAGACTGAATATTTAGACACACACATGGATGAAAGAGAGGGAACAAGGTAAGTTACTCAATTTCTGTTTGGTGTTGCAATTAAATGATGGTATCCAAAGTAACACATATACACACCCAGCATCAGTTAGTCATGGTAGGAGGCGTGTTTTGTCGACCATGAAATGGCACCTAACAATGACATCAGGCTGTAATGAACACATTCTGAGTACATAGTTTGTGGTGGAAAAACTATTCAATAGTACCGAGTGAGTCCTATAATACTGAATACTGAAACAAGAAACATTGAGGGAAGAAATTTGTCTTTCAAGTATTTATTCTCTGCACAGAGAAGGCTTCAACACAGTCCGCAGAGGATGAGCCAAGAGTTCAGTTTGTTTCCTGCTCTTAAACATCTGAGACACAGTAGGGGGCAACATCAGATATTTACATTATAACAATTGATCAGCAGTTTCAAGCTCCCCATTGACCCCTCCAGTCATCCCCTTCCTCTTCTGAGCCTTGTCACACAAAGACATGTGTCTTTGTTACCTTTGATTAAATCTTCACACCTAAACATTCTCTGGTTTAACTGCACCTCCCATTTGGTTACTTCCCCTTATCAAAGTAAAGACAGAGATAACCCATATGGTCCTGTTACCACTCTTCTCAGTACACAATCATATGTCACATATAGTTTTGTTAGTGAGTAAGGCACATAAACTAAATCACAGTAGAAATGTACTAGCACACTACAATATCACACCAGCAAAGTTAGAACTCCAGTAAAACAAGGATTTAGGCTTGTGTTAAAAGATGGTAATGGCAGTATTCTATATTTGTTTTACTCAGTTTATTTGTGCCGAAAAAGATTTGAAGCTTTGGGGTTTCATACACAGAAAAGACACAGTGACATCTGGTGGTTTGTAGAACTTACAACAGCCCTTCAAGACTAGGGCCGAAGCACTACAACACCTCTCATTTGAGTGGTTTCAGTCTCTCATATGTGCAATAAAAGTCCAAGAAACCTGCATGTCTGTACTACTCTGGTTCAGAAGTGCTGCATTAAATGTAAAAGACAGTGTGTAATATATTACAGTAAAATAATAAACACATTGCCCGGTGTCCGGGACAGAGAGGTGAAATCTGATTGGATAAAAGCTCTACTTAAAACAAGCTGCACTGGAAGCAGAGCAACTGAGGAAGACAGGAGTTGTGCAATGAGAAAATAAGATAATTGGAAAAATAATTTGAATACATGTAGTGTATTTATGAAAAATTATAAAATAGCTATAACTTTGTGATTCTGTTTAGGCCAGCAGAGAAGGCCTTGCTGGACCTGATGGCCCACCACTGGTTGAAACATATTTGTGTGTTCTTATGGATGCCATCTCGTGACTATTGAAGTTGTTGAGAGCTGTTTTGTGCTGATGAGGAGAACACGCGCATCTGGAACTGCAGAATAAAACAGAAAAGATATTGCATCTATCGTGATAGAGGGGGCGAGGGCGACCGTGGCTCACTGGGTTAAGAGGGTTGTCTGGTAACCGCAGGGTCAACGGTTTGATCCTCGACTGGGACGTGCCACGTGTCGAAGTGTCCCTGAGCAAGACACTGAACCCCCAACTCCCCGGGCACCTGTCATTGGCAGCCCACTGCTCCCTATATACACGGATGGGTCAAATGCAGAGGTCAAATTTCGTGTATGTGTATATGTAAGTATATGACATCAAAAAAATGGTTTTGTGAAAATTACAAGATTAAAATTCTATAAACTTACAGTAAGTGTACCCTTACTTACAATACAAATTTGTTCTTTTCAAATCTGTAATTTCTTAGCTCTCAGTAGCTGTTTTCACTATCTCTACCCTATCCAATGGCCTGTAAATGGCTTTTGAGAAAAGCTTGAATGTGACCAACCTTTTTGTTTTGTTGTCAATGCAGAAGAAGTTAAATTCACATTGTCTTCTTTGGAGTGTAGCCCAAAAAAACTATTTACGAACAAAAATAAAACTATAGTGGAAAATACTCTTCAATACTTCATCTTTTGATGTATTGTAGTTTTCTACAATACATCTCTATCTTATGGTGTGCTGTTGGCATTTGAAATTGGCCAAAACATTTGGTCCAGCCAGGTTGAAAGTGGAGATGTTTTTATGAGGATTTCTGAAGACAGACTGACTGAAAGAAAAACAGTTTGCAGATTCACCACTAATGTTCTAAGGACAGTAAATGATGCCACTGGACCCAAGTAGATCACATGTCCCTGCTGTGCATCAGTGCTCAGCTGCTTCCTTCCATAACTTTCTTCCAGAAATGAGAGATTTTGCATTGTTCCTCCCTGTACAGATGGCATGCTTCGCTCATGCGTGGGCATGAACTCTAGTTCTTTCATGTTTTAGTCATCTCAAACTAAAACTCTTCTGAAATGTAAAGGTTAAAAATATGTTACCAATGTTAGGATAGTTATAGGCCTATACAGAACAAATTGACCTATGCAATATCACTTTATATATGGGTATTATGTATCTGAATTATGGAGCTGATTCATCAGGACGTCAGCACAGAGCCTATGTGTACACCCTCTGATGGCGAAATTTACGTTGATTTTCACGCCATCTTTTTTGAGGGGGTTGACATGTTAGAGGGCTATTCATGTCCTCATAGAACTGGAGTTCCATCCAGTAACTACAATTAACTCATACATGTTAGCTCATGTTAGCGCGTGTTTCAGTGGACCTCTGCCAAACCACAATTACATACGTTAAGAATTATACAGACAAAGGTGTTACACAACATAAACAGACATTAATATAAGACGTATAAAACTGATTATGAATATGGTATGGACTTAGCTTGTATTTGTTATAGGGAGTATTGTAAGTGTTTGTGTGCATGTATACAAGTGTGTTGTGTAAGTGTTACAGATATTCCTACTGTATGCTGTGCAACATAACGTCAGTTGTCGTTACGCCAGACAACAAGTAAGTCTGTCTCTCAATGCCGACTGAATGACTTCCACACTACACTTGGAACTCCAAGTGTAGTGTGGAAGTCATTCAGTAGATGTGCAGTCATGCCAGAGGCTTTGGAGTAGCTGCAGGTTCAGGAAGCAAGGCGTTCTGTCCTTACATGCAATATGGACGATATGGAAATCACACTCGCCTGACCCTCGCCCCACAAACCCTTCATCTCTACACAAAAACGATGACAGGGAAATAAAAGTTAAACCACTGTCACATGATAGAAACTGTAAGCATAAAAAAACGGAAAAAAGACTGACCTACAGCAGAAATTCTGAAGATTGTTGTTGAAATCCACAGAATGCAAAAAACATATAAAAATATAATAAGATAAAAAGATTTAAGTGCTTGATAAAAAATGAAAAAGTATGTTACATTCATTCTTTATTTTCTAATGCCTTTGTTTTATTACTCAGTGCCAATATAACCTTTCAATGCCAATGTTTCCTTTTTCACTCCCGGTTTTCTTTTCAATGCTAAAATATTAAGTCACTGTCCCGGCTCCATGTCACCCAATGTAATGGCATAGCGTGTTTTAGTAGTTTTTGGACAGCAGTGGAGCTCTGTGGCACAGAGGAAAACTGTTGAAAAGTTTGCAATCTCCTGCTACAAAAGCTTGATGGGCAGCAGTCAAATTTCTTACTACTCTATATTTTTGAATGGTCTTTCAAATAGATGTTACTTGTTACTGTATGAAGGGTTGTTTCATACATGGAGAACAAAATGCTGTGCAATGGGTCAACCAACTGACAGACAGACAAAGATCACTCTGAATAACAGTGGAATACGAACAGAAGAAACCACCAGTCATTGGTAAAATAAACGGGAAGATGAGCATCAAAATGTGTGTAGATTAAAATAGTTCAATGCCAAGTGCACAATAATGCTTAAAACAAGCTGGAATTAACAGGCAACGTGTTGTGCTTCCAGAAGCTCTACTGGAACTTGATTGGGTAATATTAGCTAAACATACTATTGACTGACAAATCCCAGTTCAAACCTGTTCAATCACACCACTGAGTAGACTGCAGACAAACAGCTTCCCAAAATATTCAGAGACCAATAGATAAGGGACCCTAGATAATGATGTAGGGTCCCTTAGGCTTTTGTGGACTGGAAAACAAATTCCAAATCAAAGCGTATTTGGGGAAAAATGGTTGCCGCAGTATTTTACTCATTTCATTCTTCTTGTAAATGTAAATAATACATTTGTTGTCTGTATTATACTAGTTTCATTTAGTTAAAACAAATATTATTGAAGGACAGAAAAAAAGCATCAATATAACAGGTGGTTCCAAACTTTTGAACAGTAGAGTACATCAGACATTGATGCACACAGAATTATTGGTGTTATTGGTCTAACCCTTAATAGAATTTGTTGACAATAAGAGAAATAAAGAATATCCCCCAATGTATCCTTTAAATGACTCTAGAATACGTGTGACTAAATGGAGTTATGAGGTTTGGCCAGTAGATGGCAGTGATTTATGTTAGTGGCACAATTGCTAAAAACTGAAAAAAAAAGAACCTGCAGGCTTAATTTCTTACAAATACAAATATAGAAGATACCTTTTTGTAATGTTTTTATCACATTATTGGCTGTGTAGCCTTGTGTATCACAATAATGATATAAACGTGGCATTATATAAGCTATTCAACATGATGAGATTGAGATGGGTCCGCCCTTGTTCAAATGCCTATTGAACTAGACGGTCACTTTCAATGTCTGTGACAAATTAATTGAAATTAAGCAGATAATAGTGCTGCTTAGATGGTATACAGAAAGGAGAATGGCGGCAGCAATCAAACCTTTTACGTTTAAACAGTACATGGATGATGAAAGATAAATAGCCCTCATTCATCGCTTAACAATGAAGTGGTGTCAATTAATTTAATGAGATGCAGGCACCGATAGCACATTGTAGAGAAAATGGCCTAATTCAGGAGCTTTCAGAATAACAGCTTTCATTTGAGGTAAATTAGATTTTTGTTTTGTTTGGCTGGATCACAATAAGTGTCACTCATGGTCCATTAACAAGGATCATTGTTGCTGAAAAGGGGATCTCTCTTTCTCTCTTTTGAAAGAGCAGAGGTAGCCATCTATGGTGAGAACAACACCACATCTTTTTTGCACTCTATTCGACTCGTTCCGTTGTTTCCCTTCACTTTCCAGCAGACACAGCCACAGTCATTTCCCTCCAAAATATAGAAGGGGCATTCTCCATTTTACCGTCATTAACCCGCGCAGAGTGATGCCCACCAAGTGTGGGTCCGATTCCAAAGTACATTGTTTCAAAGGAAAATGACCATGATATATTCTCACAAAAGGCTCCATTTCATAGAGCTAAGGCAGTGGACACAGTCTTATTCCCATCATTGTGTTCTCATAGTCCTCAAAGAGGGTAAGCCTTTTCACACAGTGCCATCGCATAGTTTACAAACCCAATGGGCATTTCTCATTCAAGCCAAAGATTCCTATTTAAGCAACTCCATTCATCCCTCTTGACTATGTTTTACACCTCGCTCGAAATATTGCAAAAGGATATTTGAGTATGGTCAGTTTTTTCATTTACCCATTCAGTGTTTGTCACAATATTTCTTTGGCTTTTGTATTTAGGTGTCTGTATCTCGGAAAGAAATATTAGGCTCTGATGTTTTGCCAGTGTTGGAAGCATCACGTTCAGCTGCATGTTGTCTATAATGCATTCTCCAACTTGTTTGAGTCTGAGTCATTAGAGAGACATCCCTTACCCTTTTGGTCTCATCGAAGTGAAGGGCCCTACACCTAGGCAAACCCCCCCCCCGGACGCACGACATAACGGCAGGAGAATTAGGCTCCACTCGTCCTCTCCGTAAGCACAACAAAGAGGCTCTCTGCTATTTATTTTAATGAGATCTTTTCATCACCATCAGAAAGAACATTTTAGCCTGCAATTTTCAAGCCATTTCATAAGCTGAAAATTGCCATTTGTGAACCATTTCCCCGCTAGTAGCTCTCAAATACACTCTCATTAGTGAGCCTGGAGGTGAAAATTCGAAAAATTATCTGTAAATACAGGCACATAATCTCCCTCATCTGTTTCAATTTCAGAAGTCCCAGCTCTTTTTGTTTGAGGACATCATCATTCTAATAATTGTCTAATGCCCCTTGTTCCTTTGACCTTAAAGTAAAGGCCTATGTGACATTCAGGTCTCATTAATAAAGCTGCTTACCAACAATTAAATCAGTTACCAATAATATGATTGAGCCTGTACTGTACATATATGGACATAATGATAATTCCCAATTTATTTCTTGTCTCTTATTTTCTTAATGGATTGCAATTAGCAATAGAGTTATAACTTACTGATGCAACTATTAGTCTCAGGCTAGTTATTGAACATATGATCATTGTTGCTGTTGTCTTCTTTTTAACCTCGCAGCCAGCTGCTAACTGACGATGCCTATAATGACCTACGCTATGACCCCAACTGGAGGACCAACCTGAGGGGAGCTGGCCACTTCAACGAGAGTCCACACATTTCTGTTGAGGAATATTACCAGGTCCCTAAAGAGAAACCTGGTCAGTCACGTGGTGACAGCCAAGGACCCGTAGTAAAAGGAGGATACAGATACATCATCGACACAAGTCCAGCTCTTCTGGTTACTCCTGATATGGCTGGCAATGAGCCTGACCAGCCGTACCGCCTCCACCCAGATGATGTTCAGACTAGCACGGTGACATCACCCCACTGTTACAACCATACGTTACAACTTCAATCACCAGAGGCTGACCATTCAAAGCCATCCTGCAGTATCACTAAAAATGAAAGTGACGAAAGTTTGCTGAAAGGATTCAGAGCGAAGTATTTGAATAGCTGTGACAATGCTGGGGAAAATGCAAGCAGGTCTCCTGAGCTGACCAAGGATATTCATGCTATGTACAGCCTGCAAGAACTGAGGCATACACAAGGGGGACCCACTCAAATACAGCAAATGAGCACATTTCCCAAGGTTTTATTCAACAAAAAGCTAGAAAGACTGCCAGAGGACATAGTGGAACGCAACAAAACAACCTTGGGACGCAACACGTCCACATATGGCTCCTATGCGAGTGTGCATGTACGTAAGCAGGATATGCCTCATAACGTCAATAAGGTGTGTATATCATTTGGAGTTTTCTCAACCAACAACATATGCTGACGGTTAAAATTCCTGAATGAGAATTGGATTTTTGTCATGTGATAAATTCTCAAACAGCTCTGTAATGGCCACTCATAAGCAGGCCCTCTCTTAAAACAGGTTGCAATTACAGAAACAGACAGCAGGAGCTGCACTAACATAGATAATGATTCTTGGGCTGTCGAGCTTTTGTTACACTTACAGTACTTAAGGTTAGGTTTCACTGGGGACTACCGGAAATATATTGGAATGAAATATGCAATATGAATTATTTAAATCACAGAATAAACGGTCACTGTTTACACTTGAGTTTTTGTGATCTGCTGCTTGGCCTTGTTTGGTGATGGACAGATTAATCTATTTGATACTGGCCTCTATGAATTACCTTTTTTTAGGTTGTTTATTTTGGAAATGAAGATGGCAGATTGTGGTTGTAGTCATGATTGAGGTATTAGGCCTCAACAGCTATTGGCAAGTTTGTGTTGTTGTGTATTTTAGGCAGTAAGTATAGCTTTTGGAGTATCAGCGAATTAATGTGATAGTGATGATAGCGCAGTGGTATGTTTTGCGATGTCTTAACCCATTAAGATGTTTTAAACACAGAGGTCAGTTCTGGGGCTTGTTAGTGCTCCTGCACAACACATGCTGTTGTGTCTTTATGTCTATCAGAGATCTGCATTTACTGTCCACTCAGATGAAAAGCAGTGTGAGTGTCAGTATATTTACTCCTCTTGGAGACAGTTAATGGGCAGTTCCTTGAATGCAGCTTTTCCCCCGAGCAGAATTTTTCTTTCCTTCTGCATGAGCCAAGTTTATTCTCATTTAGTAATATTATTGGTATCTATATACCTTTTATTGTCATCTCAGACAACTAAGAGAATATCCTATGATGTTGGCTCTGACCAGGTCTGCAAAATTAATTTGGCAGAGGAGCATAGCTGTTTTCATCTGCCTTCTTCTCCACCATATAAAAATAGCTATGACTGGCAATGCAGTGCTTATTATGAGTTGATGTGTACAACAAGAACATCAGAGACGCATGGTTACCAATAGGCTCTTACAGATCCCTGCACCTGGCACAGTGGCATAATTGGTCGGGATGGCCCGAATTCCCCATTTGTTGGGCCACAAGACTGTTTGCTGGCTATAATATCCCCCAACCACCTGAGCCCCAGCCCTCGACAATGTCTCATATCATCACCATTTACATAGTCAAGAGCCGTTAGCTTTGTGCAATGGTAAACAGAGCCAGAGCCTTTCCCTCTCCGGAACCCTTGTGTTTTGTCATTTCCCTCTGAATTCACTTATTAGTTTTCCATTGCCCCGTCTCCCCAAAGAATATCCTAGTGTCTTACTTAAAGGGGGACATAGGGCACAAAACAAGGGGCACCAATTTGTCGTCTATTTCCTGTTTTATCATAAGATTAATCTCTGAATTGGGTATGTTCTGGCAACTGTATAATGTATCAACAAAGCTGATCAGAAATAGGCTTAAAGCAAAGTCCTTTTCAACCATATTTTAAAAAACAGACTCACCAAAATATAGGAATATCTATGTAAAAACTGCAGTTCATTGCAGCATTGTGATTAACATGCCATTGTTACAAACTTGTATAGTTCATTCTTGATATGTGAACATGAGCAGGTTTCTCAAAATCAAAAGATCCAAAACTCTTTAGATGCCATCATCGTGAGACTTCTCTTTGACGTGCATTATTGAATGATTAGAAAATAAGAGGCTGAATTAAACATGTCAGTGGCAAATGCTCAAGGCACATTTTGTTGAACTGTTTTAATTTAAATGCACAAATATTGAACTGATTCTACAGAGTCACAGTTTCTAGTCATTAAGACAGCACCTTCTGGTGCCTCATGTTTGGAATGGTTTGGAATAGGTATTTTTATTTTCACAAGTACTGAATGAAATATTATATCATCATAAGATTAAAGAAGTAACATATGAGAATATTGTTATCTTCTACCTTCAATATTTGATATTTTGAAATGTAATTTTAAAGGTCAGATAGACAAACAGATTTTTCTTTTCATAATAACCACATGTTATATCACAAAGCTTGTTGTGCTTCCTCCCACCCTTCCTTGTCCGTGGCTTCTTGCAAAAGATAGCAACACTCCATGTACAAATCACATCAGTTTCACAAATCAATATGTGTCCAGACATGCCAGTTGTTACTAGGCCCTTTTTAAAACAGCCCTCTGTTATAGAGCACGGCCATCTGAAGGCAACTTGTGATAATTAGACGTGTTATTAAATGTACACAATTTCCTAATGCAGCAAATGGTTAGCTCAGCCAAGTGGCAGTAGCCATGATTGGCTTCGTCGGGGCTTGGGCCTCCTTTGATAAAGACAGAAGTAGCAGATCAATCTTCTGCTATTGCACTCACCCCTTAGAGTCCCTACTCCTCTGGCAGGCCCTCACTTCAAAGCCAGGGCAACATAATGTACAATCTTTTAATAGCTTTAGACCAAAGCTCTGGGGAGCTCTCTGCCACTGTATACCCTGCCTCAGTCTAAACACCTAATCAAGATTACCTGGGCTGGCCACAATAGCAGCTAAATGCAATTCAAGATCCACAGCCCCTTTGAAGTCTTCATTGCAAAAAGCAGATGTTTCCCGGGTACAGGAGGTAATACAGCTTGCTGCAATTGCCAGACTTTGTTGTGACATCGTCTCGCAGGGAAGCAATTACGAGCCTCCCAATTTAGTAAAAAAGATATTACACAGCTTACCATGCTCAAAATGCAATACAGGCTTGATCATTTGCTCCAACTGATTGGGAGGTTTATAATGGGTGACAAAAGGCAATGGCAGGGGGAATGGGTAAAGGTGTGTGCAAGTGTGTACACTGCTGGACATGAAGTAGTCACTGACACCTGCTCCTGATCTTCAAACGATTGCTCTATCCTTATTGATCATCTGTAACAGCACCCACATGTCTAAAAGGCTCTCTGTCATTTCAAAAAGATTCCCCTATTTGGTTGGTGAGTTCATGTATGGCTCAGTTAATTGCCAAAAGCATAAAAATGTCCCCAAAAGCCACAGACAGAGGACCATACAGCTTACATATTGAAACAGCATGAGATTTAGGTGGTTTGTGCAACAGTGTCCTGACTTCCTCTCAGCACAACAGTAGCATCTTAGCCTATTAGATGCAATCACAAACACACTTATTGATGGATATGTTACAACTGGATCCACTCATTCCTTGTGACCTTATTCAAGCTCACATAATTGGTGGAATTCAGTGGAAAAGTCTTCAGCCTGTCAATACCATCGATCCAGTCAGATGGTCCTCTGCCACGGAGGGGAGTTAACTAAATGATTTTCATTACAGCATTAACTGAACATATTTCCATGCCACAAACGGGTACATTAGTAACAACTGAAAAAGTAAATTAATGTATTATGATGTAGTAATGGATGCCGTATTGATGCCACTGTTTCTTTTGCAGTATTGTGTCTATCGACACTTAGATGTTTACGTTCTTGCAAGGGCCATCTAGCTGCTGCACAGTTGGGACACCATCACCTTGTCTTCTAATTTATTTTAGGGAATATAAACACAGTGGCTGATGCTGTTGTTGCACTGGAGCTTGCCAGGGATGATCTTTAAAAAAAGAAAAAAGAGCAGCCGGAGTGAAAAGGAGAGGATTTGAGAAGCATTATTATTTCGAGCACTTGAGCAGCCACCTTGGCGCTGCCAAGCGGATGAGGATAAATATTTTCCCACTGGAATGGACAAAGCTGATGGTTGCTAAATCAGTGGCATTAGATGCATGATGTTATGTTTCTTTTTTTGAACAGGGACAATTTTTACTTGCTCATAGACCTCCTGCTAAATAATTTGGTAAGATCATGCAAAGAAGAGCTCCAGCCCTTCTTACACTTGGGAAAGAATTGTGCCTCTTATAAAGAGCTCGTGTTCTGTTGTTGTTTTTCTGATGTGAATGGGTAGATTCAGAGTTGATGTTTTGTCCTCCAGAACACTTCCAGAAATAGGCAAAGCTATACTCTGTATGTTAGCATATCTCCAGAATGCAGAAGATTCAGACAGTCAACATTCACAGCAGCAGTCTTTGCCTATGATGATGGCAAAATCAGACCCACAATTAGAGTTTGTATGCAGGTATTAAAACACAGTATTCCAGTTGTGTATGGTAGTGACTGTTTGTTATTACATGCCTATTTTCTGTTTGGATATGGAGGTTTTATGTGAGAAATCATGGTATATGCTTGGATCTTGCCATATGTCTGGGTTTTGTGAAATAATATCTCTGCATACCAAAGTCACTATCAGTACCCTTTTGTTGCTCTGACGTTTTACATCAATGAAAAAATGTTATCCTCAGACTGTTAATCCTGCTCTAACCCCAGGTCACCCAGATCAGCGAAAGGAAGAAAGCCCAGCGAAAAGAATACCCCAAACACCTTCAACCGCAGCAGCAGCCCTCTGCCCCGGGGGTCAAAGCTGACTGGGGAGACTGTCTGAGCTCCCCATTGGCAGGACCGGCCGCCATAACTCAGCCAAACCCCCAGAAGACAACTCCATCGCAGCCTTTGCTCCCCACCATCCACCTCAACATCAACCTCAACACTTCTTCCCATCTCCTTCCGTTAATCCAGCAGAGAGGCCAGAATGACATCAATTTAGCGTCTCTTCATGGTTGTTCACATTGGAGCCTTGCATCTGAAAATGAACTTGCCTTGTCCCCTGGATGTCAACAAATACATCCAAGAATGCAAATACATCCTCCCAAGACATCATCCAAGACATCCTCCCAGATGAGGAGAGGGGTAAACGCACATCTGCACCACCGAGACCTGGAGAGTTGCTCCGAAGAACGACAAAGGTGTACCATTTATAGAATTTGTTTTCTGACCAAATCTCACAATTTGAGGATCTCATTGGTAAATTGGATCATTGCTGCACCGAATAATAGCGGTCAGATAGAAGAAATAGAGCAAATGAGATAAAAAACACACGAGATCGATCACAACACAATGGTTAAATGCAATCACAAATGACAGAACACTTGTGCTTTATGTAAACCAATTAGCAATGTTACACCAAAAGAAAAAGAATATAAGCATATGCAATATATAAAATAATACAATATGAAAAATACTTTCTGGTGTAGTAGTCTATTATTATGGGTGTCATCAGTATTCATCCACCAATAACTTTGTGTTTCAGGACAGCTGCATTAAAGTGGCCATTAACCTGTGAAGGGGAGGACCAGCAGCAAGCTCCACAAAACCTCCTCAGGACACCCACCACCTCTTTGTCACTGGGCTCTGGCTCCTACCCACTTCTGTCGGCTATAGGAAAGTCAATGACAGGAAAAGAGCCTGAGCTGAGCCCTGATGGGAACACAGACAATCCCGTCCATCGAAGCAGCTCTAACGGCTACCTGGTTCAGATGGAGAAACAGAAGCAGCGAAGGGTGAGAGTCACTTACAAGGTTGGTGTGTCTTGTGAGTGTCATTTGTGAATGCTGACAGTTTTGTCACCTACTTAGGAGGTTAGCTTTTCGTCAGTGTATCATTGTATTTCTGTATAGCTGCCATCTAATCTGGGATGTCACACAGATAATAAAATACACCACGTGACTATTTGTTTGAAATCCATGCATTTTAAAACTGTGGTTAAACAGGGCTCAAGGGCCACAAAACTCACTCAACACATACTAAATAATTGTGTTGTAGTTAGAAAAATAAGGACTCATTATGCAGTTTCACCTAACAAAAGTGACACATGAATTCTTCAATTGAGTGGCATTCCCTTTTAATCCTCACGTACACAAGAGGTTACACAAATAAATTCCCCTTTGAAGTCCCAGATAATCCCCTCAGCTGTCTCCATGCAGGGACAGCTTAATCCAGCAGGAGTGTTCTGGTGACTAAGGGCACAAAACATCAGGTTAATTGTCTAGCTCCACTAAGCTACACTTAATTGCCATAAGATGATGACTATATAAACCACAGAGCTGCAGGCTCTGAAAAGCCATTTAAAGATGTGTTAGAGGATAAGGTGATTAGAAGGGAGAGAGTCTGTGAGGTGCAGGGCCACTAAAGATTACCATTTGCATTTAATGATTTGGCTGTTGTTTTTTTTCCACCTCTCCTTTGGTTTGCCAGGCTGAGATGGGTCCTGATGTCGGGTATATTTAAATACAGGTGACTGTCGCAAAAATACTTCTTGCTGTTCAAGCCGGTACAAGTCTCACTGGTGAAACTAATCCCATAATTGGTGCAGACTGACAACAAACAAACAAAATATTGATATTTTAACATAGTGTTTTTTTCTGCCATGCTTTAAGTTTACCTTGCACAGCAGCTGGATTTGCAATATCACAGGATTATGTTAAAATCGCGGGATCACAGGATATCCATCTTCTTGAAGTAATGCCTTTTTGTCTGAACAACTTCTGGCCAGACCAATCACCAATGACAGCTTGTCAGATGGTTCTCTGTAACAAACCAGATTTGATGATTTGATCTAAGTCTCACAGTCGAATCGTCGCATTGTCGGAAAAATGTGATTATGAAATAAAGGACCATTCTTTTCTGGTTATATGGGGGTGCTGAATGTCAGATTTTACATAAATTGCTTGGTTTCTCCCAATAAATTCTAAGATATATCCTTTTTTGGTTTAAATATCAGTCTATTCATGGATTCAAGGATACAAGGATCATTCATTTTCATAATGCCACACAGGGATGCGCAATGAAATTCAGTTGTAGCTCATTCACAACAAACACATGACAAACAAAAACAAATTATGAATTTGCATCACAAGGAATGCAAGAAAACAATTCTCTGGGCAGATAATATGGCCGACATCTTCACATTAGATGTTGATGAATGTATTCCGTCATATGCCATTAGTGATAAACATGAAAAAAACAACAAATATAGACAAAAATGAAGCGAAATTCATGGGCACTATCGGCCACAGCATGTACATGCGCCACTGTTGCCATAGTTTTCAATACTGTAAGTAAAATTTTCAAAATAACTAGTGCTTTCAATTAATCTCCTTAGTGTGTGTGAATAAATCTAGAGTAAGTTGCACTATCCAAAATTTGCAGGACCATCGGAGCAGCATCTTGGCCTCACAACATAAAGCTACTGTTTAAAAATCAAAGAATACATTTATTAATCAGAGTGCTCATATAGAAATGTAGCACTATCAGAGCTCTAGACATTTTATGAATTTATGAAGGATCTCTGAAATCTGCAGAGGAAGGCGCTAGAAAAAGACGTTTGTGGCTATCGTTGACTTTCTCTTCACCTCCCTGTCGTCTCCCTTCTGTTGGTGGATTGATACAATGGGTGGAAATGTAATAAGAACCGGAAGTTTGATTTACAGCCATGAAAAGCAAGCAGGCTTAGAAACCATGTCTGTCATTCTGTCTGTCTCATCGATCTCTGCTCATTAGAGATTTTGGATAGCCGGCACTGTACATGCACACTACACACAATAAACACCATTATTATTATTATATTATAACAGCTAGACGATAGTCACGTGTATCTCGGACATTTTATATATTTTTTAATATAAAGTTTAAACAGAGGGGGTATCAGTGAGCAAATCAGTCAACGATAGTCAAGACTTGACCAATCAGATCAGTCAGGGATACCCCTGGTATAGTGTATCATATGTATTGTTACCTCAACTAACAATTGAGTTAGCTAGACTCAAGGAAGACTATAAAGTATGGTTAAGTTTTTAGAGTTGTATTCACACTGGAGCCTACACATATTCATCCTGTGGTGCCCAGATTCCTCACCCCCTGACCTCCCGTCTCTCCCACCATGTTAACCATCATGTCTGACGAGATTACAGGCTCAATTTGTGAAGCAGTCTTGTTGCAGCGCCCGGGCATGAAAGCAGATGAGCGTGACTTAGGGGTGGAGTGAGAGGGGAGAGGGCTTGGAAAGAAAGGTACCCTGTTGTGTCCATGACCAATGGCTAAAGCAAACTGAAATCCTCCTTCCGAAAAGCAGCCAGTAAAATCTGGAATGATTAGCTCCCTATTGTCTGGGGCAGCTTGTGGATTGCATGCCCCCATGCGCATATGGTCACACACACACGCCATCATCACCAGTGGCTGCTTAGGAGCGGGTATACAGTACATCTCTTTGTTGCTTTGCAGTATCACCTCAGCTCAACATCGAGTGCCCTGAGAAAAGTACTTCAATGTAATATCAAAGCCTGATTAGGAAATATTGCATGCTATGCAAAATCCTTTCAAAGCTGACACTTTATACTGTTTGTGTCAAGTTATTTAACAACCACTGGTGCACACAAACTAATACACAGGAGTAATAGGTTTCTGGTTTATTTGGAATAGTTAGGGTGGTTAGCAAGACCTAGATAGCAACTATTGAACAAAACACCACTTACACACATTTACCATCAAAATCGACAGAAAAAGACCTCACGAGACTTATTGTTTGATTGAGAGGCAATCTCACTGAACTACAGTGCATAAGAAAGGATCATGTGTATAATCACTTTAACGTAAAGAACAAAGTCTGCAGCCAGGGGTCTCTGTGAGGCTGTACGGAGGCTCTGTGGTGCTTTGAGCTAAACTGTCAGCATTGACATGCTCACAGTGGCCATGCTGAGGCTGATGGGAATGGCATTAGTTTCACAGGTCATAAACCGAAGTATGAATTTTTGAAACTAAATGGAATGATCACCCCATTATTAAAATTCATCCTGAGGGGGACATGAATGTCTAAACCAAATTTCATGGCAATTCATCTGATTGGTGTTGAGACGACTTTCAATGGTTGCCACCATTTTACTCATTTCATTTCACACACTCATGGTGGTTCTAGGCCAGGAAAAGTAATTATGATAAATTGTCTGGGAACCATGAAAGTCTGCATACAATTGGCTGCCAATTCATCAAGAAGTCTTTGAGATACATCGCTGGATAAATGAGAACTTTGATGTGCAAGTGGGACAAGATGATTATTCAGAGAATCACCAAATTCATCAGGATGGGCACCATGAATATCTGTACCAAATTTCATGACACCCATCCAAAAGTTGTTGAGATAATTCACTAAAAAGGCCACCCTCATGGTGTCAGGGATCATTCATGTCAGTGAGCTTCATCGTCTGGGGACATTGAATGTGAAACAGTCACTGGGTGTGAGGCATGTGTGTGGCTGAGCATGAAACAGAACCAGGCTTTATCATGTCAAGAATCCCCCAAACAGATGCACTTAAGGTCACTTCACCCCATTTAATCAGACCAAGGAATGCCATCTAGACTTTGATATATTTCACCATACACAGTATATATGTTGTAGTTAGAGATACTGTAGTGTAACCCATAGTACTGTTGTTACGTTCCCCTTTTTAGGTTCTAAGGGATGAGGGGAGTAATAAAGTAAAATTCCCAGTGAAAGAGAATCATGACCAATAGATGAGTTAACAAAATAATATTTATTAACAAAACGATTGAATGCTCACATGGCAGCAACTGAAAACTACTTTCTTATGACGAGAAAGCGACAATACTTGACACTATACGAACAACAGCCCACACAACTGGAACAAAGGTGATGTAATCCACAGCTTCACACCGACACACACACAGCTTCACTACTGCGGTTTGCCCCAAGGGGCTGTCCGTATGGAGCTCCCAGCTTCTTATCCACCACTGATGGAGCGCAGCCGCGTTCGATCACCCGCCGCAGCTGACATCCCGGGAAATGGGCGGCACCTAAGATGACACTGAGGGTGGGCAGAGGGAGAGCACAAACAACAGCACACGTAACAACTGTATTTAAGCAATATTGAAAATATTCCTCAAATTGCTGAGCACTTTCTGGCACACTTATAGCTCACTGGAGTCAACTGCATTGTAATGTTTGATTTATCAGTGTTTCTCTTTGTTTCTGCAAGCTAGTGAGACGGCCAAACAAGAAGAGAGTTACAGAATGTTTGGTGAAGACAGTGTCACTCACATTGAGGCTTTGTCTTGCTATGTTATCCGCTAGGCATTGGTCTATTATTTGGTATATTATTATTATTTTCTCAGTGCACCATTTGAACCCAATGACAAACATCAAAATTGATCCAAATTGCAGTCAGGAATCTAATGTTTGAGCCATTTTGACTGCCATCAAAATAAATAGAGTTCAGTTCAACAAAGGTCAGCTTCAAATTAAGTAATCAAAAGTGTGACTAGATGTTTGATGGCACAAATGGTGTCCTGCAAAACTTGAATCTCTCTCTGTCTCTGTCTCTCTCTCTCTCTGTCTCTCTCTCTCTCTCTCTCTCTGTCTCTCTGTCTCTCTCTCTCTCTGTCTCTCTCTCTCTGTCTCTCTCACTCTGTCTGTCTCTCTCTCTGTCTCTCTCTCTCTCTGTCTCTCTCGATCTCTCTGTCTCTCTCTCTCCCTCTCTCTCAGGCATACAGTCTTAAAGACTACAAGCAGCTGAAGTCAGATATAAATCTGCGTGGCCTGGGTCCTGACTACACAGCCATGGAAGAGACAGTAAGTATTGACCTGCAACATCAGTCAGTGTCAACTCAGCAGAAATTGTTACAGACCCAACCGTTTGTGTTAGGTGGGTTCATTTATCCAGAAACTGCAAAGATATATCAACATGTTGCATTGACAGGCCTGTCATTTATTTTCTTTTAAAGGGACACTGTGTAAGTTTTAGTGGCATCTAGTTGTTTGAGCCCCTCCCTTTCCAAGCGTGTGACAGTAACAAGTGTAGTTGCCATCAACTCGGGTATCCTTCACTTCACCTGGTTCACTTCACGACAGCGGCCTCTCTGTTCGCACTTTGTGTGTGTTTGTGTCTACGTGTGTTTGTTTCAATATGTTTGTGTTTATGAGTGTTTGTGTCTACGTGTATGTGTGTTTGTGTCTATATCTGTGTGTTTATGTGTGTGTGTGTGTGTGTTTGTGTTTATGAGTGTTTGTGTCTATGTGTATGTGTGTTTGTGTCTATGTCTGTGTATTTGTGTGTGTTTGTGTCTATATGTGTGTGTGTTTGTGTCTATGTATGTGTGTTTGTGTGTGTGTGTGTGTGCGTGTCTATGTATGTGTGTGTGTGTGTGTGCGTGTTTGTGTCTATGTGTGTGTTTGTGCCTCAAACTCTTCTTATTCCCATCACACGTGGAAAAGTGGGGCAATTTTACCGCCAGAATTATTTCTCTAAAAAACAGTGAATAAGCTGAAAACAGAATGCTAAATGTTGATTCAGCATTCCAAGTATTGTTAACTGAATCTTTATTGTTGGAATGCTGATGCAGCATTCCAAGTATTGTTCTTTGATTCTTTATCCAACTACTATTTCTTCCGTACATTTTTCTTCTTCCACATTTTCTAAGCTACAGAAACCGTTCGAAAATCAAAATGTTCAGCTCTTTAAAGACACTTCTGCTATGATTTTTTTTTATATTTCTACCTCTTATGCTTTTTGAATTATTAAGCTTTTTGCAAAACAATTTTAAATGGGATGTCTATGGAGAACATTTTCCAAATCCCCTTAAACTTCTTAAACTTTGAAAGCCTTCTTCTTCCTCATACTTTCAGCTATAGGCACCATTTCAACATTAAAATGTTGAGAAAACCCTGAACTAATACCCCATGATTCAGCTTTTTATCTTTTACACTTTTTGAACTGTAGAAATTTAACTTTTATGATTTTGCAGTCCTTTTCTGAGTTTATAATGGGTGTGTATTGCGCAGCTCAGAGTGCGTGATGTCATTGCTAGAGTAAAGAGGAGCTTCAGAATCTTGTGAAAAAAATATTTTTATTTTGCCACTGATTCCACAATTTTCACTCTTCATGCATTATTTTTTCGTGAAAGTGTAGCTAATCGTGTCCTTGTTGTAGACAAATGACGGTGGAATCCCACAGATTTACACATTTGGCACAAACGCGAGGAAAACCAACTATCTGCTCCATAGCGACCAATGTTAATTCTTACTCCAAGAACATCTTGCACAGACAACCGTCCAACATTTCTAGATCACCATTGAAGCCACATTTTTTACACTACAGACATCATTTTCACATGATCTGTTCTTCAAGTCATCCTTCCTTGCCAGTTCTAATATCGGAGCAATAGGAGCTATATGGGGGTTTTGAGAATTAGTTTGACAGGTTTTTCACAGCTTTATCTCAATGTTAGGCCTGCAGGCACACAGGTGTTTTTGATTGAGCTAATTTGTGAAGTTGATAAACACACAGACACACTGACACACACACACACACTGACACACGCGCACACACATACACAAATGACTTAGAGATATTCAGTAAAAGCCATCGTCTGTCCATCTGTATTTGTGTCTCTCTCTCTGTCGCTCTCTGTCTTCCTGTCATTCTGTGTGTGTCTCTCTCTCTCTGTTTTCTGTCTGTCTGGGTCTCTCCCTCTGCCTCTCTGTCTGTCTGTCTGTCTCTCCCTCTCTCACTCTGGCTCTTTCTCTGTTTTTCTCTGTCTGTCTGTCTGTCCGTCTCCCTCCCTCTCCCACTCACTCCCTCAGTCACAAACTCACTCTGTCTCTCTCTCTCTCTCTCTCTCTCTCTCTCTCTTTCTCTCTCTCTCTCTCTGTCATTTCTCTCTTTCTTTCCGTCTGTCTTTTTCTGTCTGTCTGTCTGCCTTTCTCCCTCTCCCTCTCTCACTCCATGCCCCCCTCACTCACTCTCTCTGTCTGTCTGTCTCTCTTTCTCACTCCCACTCACTCACTCACTCACTCACTCACTCACTCTGTCTCTATATTTCTGTCTGTGTCTCTCTCTCTCTGTGTCTCTCTCTTCAGTCATTCAGGTCTTAGAGATTTTTTGAGGACTTTTCCCCTTTAACCCCCCCCCATTTCAAAATAAAAGCCACACAGTGAATTCTAACTTGAATGCTTGTGATGAAGCCTGTCATTTAATAACCTCGGTTTGTGTGTGTCAAACATTATGATTCTGTCTCCTCTCCCCCTCTCTCCCCCACCCAGTCCCACCCTTTCAAAATTAAAGCCCCATGGATTAACTGTATTTAAACATTAAGCTCAAAATTAGGCTTTTTTGTTGAAATACTTAATGCTCTTACTAATACTGTCACAACTACTACTACTGCTGCTAATATTTCTAGTATTACTACTACTACTACTACTACTACTACTTCTACTACAACTTCTACTGTTGCTACTATTACTACTACTACTACTGCTATTACTGCTACCACCAATATTATTACTACCACTACTGCTATTACTACCAATACTACTATTACTTATACTACAACTACTACTTCTACTACTGCTATTCATGCTACTACCAATACTAATACTACCACAGCTATTAGCACCACTACTACTAGTACTACTACTACTGATAATACAGCTACTTTAAATACTACTATTACAGTAATAGTAGTATTTGAAGTAGCCGTATTAGCAGTAGTAGTAGTAGTAGTAATAGTAATAGTATTACTATTACTACTACTGCTACTACTACTACTGTTATTTTAACTACTACGGCTACTGATACTTCTAATACTTCTTCTTCTAATGCTACTAATACTTCTACAACTACCACTTCTACTACTACAACTACTACTATAAATATCACTACTGCTATTACTAGTATTTATTCTAATGATACTAATACTTTTACAACTACTAATATTATAGTACAACTACCACTTCTACTACTACTACAACTGCCATTGCTACTACAATTACTGCAACTACTACTAAAACTACTACAACTACTACTACTACACACGCTATTACTACTAATACTACTACTAATTCTACAAATACTACTTTTACACCAAGTACTACTACGACCATTACAAGAGCTATTACTATGACTACTACTACTACTACTACTATTACTGCTACTACCAATACTACTATTACTACTATTACTACTCCTTCTAATAGTTCTACTACTTCTACTACTATTACTACTACTACTACCACTTATACTACTACTTTTACTACTATAACTTTGACAGTAAAATCGTTGAGCTTCAAGCTTTTCCTGCATTGTAATTCAGCTCTTAGCTTTGTTCGATTATACAGTTTAGCTTCCAAGTCTGCCAGTTAGACATTTCAATTAGAAGGGTTTTCAGCAGTGCAGTCCAATGCTTTTGGCCTTCAACATGTTTCAGACAGGTGGTCTCCCATTTCTGTATTTTCAGCAATTGTTTTGCGATTTATTTCAGCTTTCAGTATTCCAACGCATTTTTTGCAGGAAATGCATTTTCTAGTTTTCATATGCATTTATCTGTCTACTTAGAGCTTTTCAGCATTATGAGACAGAAATGAATCTGTAGACTAGTGTACACATTTTCTATTTTCTATTTCAGAGCCTCTCTGGTCTTTAAATAAAAGAATGATACAGAAGAACACAATACAAAACCTGCCCTACATACCAGGATTTTATATTAATTTGCTGTTTTGCTGCAATACCAGCTGTAAGCAGTGACTCACAAATGTGATTAGAATTTGTTTGGACAAAATAATGTCTGTGTCTACATCCTGATGACGAGTGTCACTGTGTGTCCACTGACTCTCTTCCAACTGTCATAGTTCTTTATTTAAAGGCTCCCATGCTGTTCCACAGATACACTTACATCTAAGCAAATGAGGGTACCTCAAAGAAGTTAAGTGCTTTATGCTGGGATGTATCTTTTAATCCCCAGTTGTAAAAAGTGAGCATGTTTGGCCAATTTACACCAGATTGAGCCCTGGGCATCTCCAGGTCCAAGCCTATTAGTGAATGATATGAGTAAATGTTGATAGCCCCACTGAATGGCTGGCTGTGTTTGGTATTGTTGGGCTGCGTGGAGAGGCTCTGCTGGGGGGAGCACAAAGAGAAGGGCCTTAAGGGAGAAATGGCTCAGTTAATTAAAACCCCCTTTTATAATCTGCTTCTATTTCTCTCTCACTCCCTCTCTCACTCTTTCACTGTCATCATGCTGAGAAACTGAAACGACAGAAGCTGTATTCAAATGTGATCCGTGAGCAGAACAAAAAGATAAGTAGGATTCCCTTTCTACTGGCCAAGGACCCGGAAGGCAATGACAAGAAAGTTCCCAGGATGAAGGTGTGTGTGTGCTTCTTTGAATGTGTATGTGTGTGAAACCTAGCACGTCTTTTTCACAACAGGAATGTGTGCTTGTGGTTGTTTGAGAGACAAGTTGTGACTAAGCAAAATGACAAAGAGTGTATGAAATCAGGGAGAATGTCACTACATGGATCCAACCTGGTATCTGGATTACCTGATCCTTGATAACCAGTCTCACACAGCTGGTTTAGCAAAATATGACTATACATTAGGGGAAAATACAGATTTTTTAAATAATGACTAACTTAACAGTTGCGCTCTTACTGTATGTGTATTTAACAACATAAACATCGAACAAAAAGTTCGGAAATTAGTGTTTGGTAGATTATTTCTCTGTTGTAACAATGCTTCTTGGCAATGAATTTTATACCGTTGGAAAGCCTGTTTATTTACCTTTCAAATGGTGCCCCATTTGTAAGGAACATGCATTTCTGGGATGAGCAGCACAGCTGAGTATGTGGGTTGCGCCCATGAAAAATTTGCTAAATCTTCTCTGCCAATGCCAAACAGCTTATTCTGCTGTTGCTATTGACCGTCAGGCCCGTTTACGCTGGTGTCGGCAACACCTGCACTGGAACCTGAACATGTGGAGGAACGTTATGTTCAGCTATGAGTCCAGATTCTGCCGAAGGAAGTTGGATTGTAGGGTCAAAGTGTGGAGAAGACGGGGAGAACGCTATGCTGATTGCTGCACCGATAGAGTAACACCTTTTGGTGGAGGCAGTGTGATGGTGTGGGGCGGCATCTCCATCACTGGAAAAACAAGGCTTGTCTTCATTGGAGGCAATCTCAATGCAGAGAGATATCGAGATGAGATTCTGCAACCAGTGGAAATCCCATTTCTCCACAGTCTGGGACCGAACTCCATCCTCCAAGATGACAACGCTCGCCCCCACCGAGCGGGGTTTATCAGAGACTACATCCAGAATTTGGGAGTGGAGAGAATGGAATGGCCTGCCAACAGTCCTGACCTCAACCCAAGTGAACACTTGTGGGACCAGCTGTTCGTGCCAGAGTGACCAACACAACCACATTGGCTGACTTGCGACAAATCCTGCTTGAGGAGTGGAATGCCATCCCACAGCAGTGTGTGACCAGGCTGGTGACCAGCATGAGGAGGAGGTGCCAGGCTGTTGTTGTGGCTGTGTATGGTTCTTCCACACGCTACTGAGGCTCCTGTTTGTTAAATGAATAAATTGTAAAATTGCCAATATGTCTCGTTTCTTCCTTGTTACTGATAGACTTCAATCATCCAATCCACCAAACAACACCAAACGAGAGTCGATGGCAGAATACGCTGTTTGGCATTGGCAGAGAAGATTTGGCAAATTTTTCATGGACGCAACCCACATACTCAGCTGTGCTGCTCATCCCACAAATGCATGTTCCTTACAAATGGGGCACCGTTTGAAAGGTAAATAAACAGGCTTTCCAACGTAATAAGATTTATTGCCAAGAAGCATTGTTACAACAGAGAAATAATCTACAAAACACTAATTTCCGAACTTTTTGTTCGATGTTTACATATTACGAATAAATATAATATACACAAAACAACATGACAATTCAAAGTTAGGAAGTTGTTGTACTACAGAAAGGAGTACTGTAGAGAAAATGCAGATGAATGCTTGGCTTGATAAACCTCAAAGTCTGAAAACCTAAAGTCTCATCATTGACGTTCAAAGAGTCCAGGGTACTATTGTTTATCTTCTTCAATCGTTTTTTATTTTATTGAGTCAATAGAATTTTTTTTAATTCATAATGTCGCCACATGCTTTGATGGAATTTGAGGGCAATACACTAAAAAGTCACTGTCAGAAATAAAATGAAATAATGTCACCATCATTTTATGTGTAACGTAATTGAATAAATTCCCAGTGACTAAGACGACGCGCCGGCACTCCAGCAATAAATGTGTGACAGACTTTAAATTACATCTTTTAATGTAGACCACATCTAAATTTTTTTCTCCACTCCATAAAAACTCCAAAACCTTCAGTGCATGATTCTTTCTGACGATACGGTAGAAAATTTGGGCTAAACCTTTGTGATCCCAGTGAACAGCTGATTTTGTGACAAGCAGAAAAGTAAAATCGATGCGATATATCTGATTTTTAGTGTATTTCTCCCCACAAAAGTTATCTTGAATATATTACGCAGCATTATCAGCTATTTGTCCACGATAGAAGACAGGCAGACATGGAGGAAGAGAAATCATTAATTTGTTACTTTAACTAATTTACCAATTTAGCATTCTCTCTTCTAAATAATCAGCCACCTCACGATTCATGAAATGAATCACACACTTTAGGATCATCCTTAATCCAGGAATATGTGCCAAAATCAATGGTTTGTAAGAGTGGTATTTAACAATATAATCGGTCATGCAACATCCTGACCATAAACCACAGAACAGCACATGGCCCATTGTAAATATATAGAACATATTCCAACTATGTAATCCAACAAATCAGACTTTAAGATACTCTCTTACTAATGATTAAATTCAAACTGACAGTGAGCAGATTATGCAAAAATAACTGACAGAAGTAAAGCACATCATGTACTCCAGTTGATGTGGCCATGACAAACCTTTCACTTCTCTCTTTTAACAAATCAAATGCTGCACCTATTTGTTTTGTTCAGTGATCCAGATAGATTTATTAATTACTTTGAGTTTGACTTTGAGTTTGAGATTTATATAGGCTATTTATTTAGGTATATATTGCTTTGAGTTTGATGTTCAGTGATCCAGATTTATTTGTTTAATTATAGATGTTCAGTTCAACAGTTTTCCAGTTTTTACAGTCTGTAATAGACTGGTTGTTCATTCGGATTAATTTCATTTATTTATTTGTAATGAGGGTTATCAGCTGATTAATATGCAATTGTCTTTTTCCTGCTCCAAACTATTATTATATCGACCTTTAAAAATCCACTATCGGTTGACCTCCAGTGACATTTATCATGTGTGATACTACAAATTATGATGAAAAACCAAGATTGAGCCTGGTGCTCTTTGTTAGGCTTCTTTAATTTAGTGCTTTACATTTTGTCTGGATCCAGGGGTGATGTTATTAATCCAAACAGTTAGTAAACTGTTTACACATTCTGACTCGATCTTTTGAACTTCACTTGCTCCGCTGCAGGTTAGCCAGGCAGATTAGGTTACCATGGTGACCTAATCTCATGAAAACCTTGTCCTGTTTTACGAAGTTTTAAAATGACGATGGAGAATTATACATCACATGTACTGTATTGTATTTTAATGTACCAGTAAAGTTATATAACCATGACATGTACCTTGTAGTGTACATCAGATAAACACAACCATTCTGAAAGGTTGCAGTGGACTGAGGTTTTGCAGACATTTCTGGAGCACCAGTACCATTTTTGACTGCAACTTGTTTTCAGTAATTAGTTTGTACATTAACATGCGTGGATCTCTCTGTCTCTTTCACGCTTAGGCCTTGGAATATGCCAAGACCATAGCCAAACCCCCTGTACAGTCTCAACCAAAACAGAGACAGAAACACCGGTCCGAAGGCTTCACTGAGCACGCTTCTTACTTGGACGTCTCCCAGCTGGCCACACTGGAAGTCCTTAGAAAACGGCATGAAGAAGAAAAGCAGGCTGTGGCACTCTTCAGAAAAGTACCTGCTGTCTGAGGCAAACTGCACTTCCCGTAAACAGTCCATGGATCCCATGCTCTCATAGATATTCTAAGATGTAGGACACAACATGCTGCCTCATTCAATTAGTTCGGCCTAGTATCACGCCAACATAATAAATACAAAAGTTAGGTAATAAAGAAGATCTCTGAGAAGACTGGCAGCCTTAGACAGCATCCGTGTTTTACTTTTAACATTGTGTGTCACCAGAAAAGATTTGACAAGGAATTCATTAGATTACTAATTTCTAGTGTTTGTTTCAACCATAGATGCCAGAGAATAGGTTTACAACGGTCATTTAGAAGCTTGGATTTATTTACTGGAGCCACCAAGACAGATTATAGGAATTAACTACTGAGATCCTAACATCTTCAGGTGTACTTTAAAAAAGAAAAAAGCAGTTTTGTATGGACTCACACTAAGATTTTTTGGAACTGGTGTCTATTGCCACTTAAAGGAAATGCAGTTTAAAACATTTCTGCGTTGGCTTCACCACTCAGCTGTAGCTACGGGTTCCTGCGTCTGAATTAGGCTACATTCACACCAAATCAGGTGTTGCAGCAAAAATGCCACTCCTTCCATTTATTTGAATGTGTGGAGTGTGTTTGGGATTAAAAAAACAATAGCTCTGTGGCAAAAAATGTAAACGGAATCCTTTTTTGAAAAAATGCAAGCCTACATCACGCTCAGATAGCCAATCACATTGGCGGTGATCAATGGGCCAATAAAATGAGTGTCACTAAATTGACTCTGAGCTAAGCACCTGATTTGGTGTGAATGCAACCTTCTTGGCAGTGTTGCAATGTGTGCATCATTACTTGTCTGCAGCGTAGTGTAGTTGAAGTTTGAATAAACCTGCATTATTGTTACCACGCTGGTAGTAGCAGCGTGGTAACAATAATGCTACTGTCATGTGTTGTCAGTGTTGTGCTTTGACTCTTTGACTAATCAAGTTTAATGACATTCTCTCCCTAAGTGTTCACCAGTCTTTGTGAGAACTATTGCACTTGAAATGGATAGACTATGTTGCAAAATATAATATTTTAATAGTATCTTGATGTTATCTTCTCTATGCGCAAACAATACTGCTATTAAAAACATGTCAAAGCAACTCTGCGTACCTGAGGTAGGCTGAACAGGACCTTACTAGATATTTGAGAATGATTAGAGAAGGAATTAGGTGGATAAAGATGCCCCCCCACACTTGGGATGAATTCTGTTGTTATGCCTCGTCTATTACATCCAACTTGTTAGTCATGAATTCTTCTCCAGTGTGTTAAGATGAATGATGAAGCAGGTGTTGCTCTGAATCCGTCCTTCCTGTTGCTGTAATATATATTTACACACACAGGATCATCCTATCACCTACCACAAGCAGTAAAGATTACATTAGATTTGTATTCTATGCATTATATTGATTTTCGTAGTTGCACTTATTATCAGACATAACTGTATATCTCAATATTTAACAGCATCTCTCTGAAGACCTACTGGCCTCAATGCAATGATGTGGTTGTTGTATGTCACTGACTGCACTGATTCAGTCCACCTCCAACTATTCCACAGCACTGGTTAATGTCCACACTCAATTTTCATTTTTCCCCATATTGTTGGTTTAGCCACCTTATCACTTTGTCTCCTCTCACCCCATTACACACTGTTTAACTTAGAATATTCCACACGCCCTTTGTTGTGGGTCACAACCCCCCCTTCACGGAAGAGAAAACCTGCTCAAATGAAGATGACACTTTGAAGCTCCCCTGATTTGCTCGCAGTCCTGCGTTTATAGCCTTATTGTAAGTAGTAACTCCTCCCCAACACAAAGCACTCTCAAGCAGCTCATTTTACTAATTGAACCCTCAGATCATTATCAAAGCACTATTTACCTCTGTGCAATATTTTAATGAGATTATAGTCTCTATTTAACCCATCATGGACTCTTTGAAGCCCTGTGTTTTTAGTGTTAAGTCCTCAGATGGGCGGTTGGAAACAAATGACCGAGCCCTTTTTAATTTAATGAGAAACGCCGCCTATCCAGACTGAGTCTCTTTGCTTCTTTTTTAGGTCCCACCTACTCATTTTTTGCCATTGAAATCCAGTTAATTGACAGAGTCTCTCCCCGCTATACATGAAGGGGGCCAAATTAGCATCCCTTTCTGCCCATTGGGAAGCTGAGGCAGACATGGAGGCTTTGATGTGAGAAGCACGCTTTCAGTAGGCGGCAGGCTTCCTGAAAATGAGCTGATGGCCCTGCTATTAGGTCCAAATGCAGATGCTTCCATGTGTTGCAAACGGTTAATCTTTTAATTGATCACCTTCTGCATGGCCTGTTCTCCACCTAGTTTTTTCCCCCACTGCCTGTTAATCACAATCACATTTTGAAGATGACATGAATTGCATTTTAAAAAGGCAGGAAAGGATGGCAACTCCAGCATGTTACCATGTTCCTCTCATGCGTTCCAAGAGAGGAACGCATGCTATTGTCAAATGCCCAGTCAGAGATGCAGTTTATGGTAAAAGAAAATAAAACATGTGATCGGGACTGTTCTAACATTACTTCGTTTTTACTTGGATGCAGAGTTGTCAAATAGAACCGATCTCCGTCCACATGGGAGTTTCAGCATCATTCTCGAGTTGATCTGCATCCACACCAGCCTTCGAAGGCGGACAGCACGTGACCATTAACTACACTGGGCATGCGCGTGACGGTGTAAACAGGAAGTGGATTGCTTGCTTAGTTAAAAACAAATACGACAAAGTAATAAAGTAGTCTTTAATAATGAAAGGTTGTATTTGATACTTAAGATCGTCCTCTAAAATCTCCCTCTATAAACTCAAACAGACAGTTCGTGGAAAGTTTTAGAAGTTTTATTTTTCAGACTTAGTTACAACGCTGCAGGTCTCTCTCTCTCTCTCTCTCTCTCTCTCTCTCTCTCTCTCTCTCACATCAAATTTACTTTAACATCAACACTTACACATAAACGTTTACCAGATTATGGGTCCATCAATGTGGTCAACACACGTCTCTCACTCGTTTCCTCCGTGTTGTTGGTGTCTGTTCTCACTAGTAGCTCTGAACATCATGTCCGCCTAGCTAGCTTCTAAGCTAATTTTAACATTACCGCCAATGGAGAAATGCTAACCGCGATTAGCATTTAATACAACACAAATGTTATACTAACAGAGCGAATACAATATATCTACGTACATCTTTTCATGCTTCATAAATACATACTTACAGACTAAGGTCTCTCAAGGCTACCAAACGGAATAAGTAAAACGTTAGTGCAGCATGTCTTCTCATTAGAATCTAAAAACAACGAGCTGCTCCATAGGGCTGATGCCGGTCACGCCGCTCGCTAATCGCTCCAATAACAGCTGCTTCCTCCACAGAAATGCAGACTTTTACTGCACAACAGCTGCTAGCTGCTGCTAGCTGTTGTGCTAGCAGCAACGATTGCAATTAGTTGTCCATGTTGAAATGAATCGCTGGTAGCCCAGTTTGTTTTCTTCCGGGTACGGGTCACGTGATAGTGAGTGTGACGAATCAGGGACGGAGAAGTCATGGTTGCCAAGAACCAACCCAGTAGCCAACACGGGTGTGGGCATATATTTTTTCTAAGCACATCAGTTTCCGACCGTCCACACTCAAACGCAACCCCAGAGTTCTCAAACACCTCCAGCCTCGGGGGAGTTTTCAGACTCCTCCGCTTAGGGTGCTCCAAAACTCCGGCAAAGTGTGGCTGCTCAGTGTAAACGTGGCAAATACGGAGTAAAAATTAGTATTTTCCCCAACAGCAAGATCCGCAGATGTACATGTACATGTATGTACATGGCCTAAGACTCTTAGATGTGCGTATGTGTATGTGGCTCATGTGTTATCAAATATCAAAAAAAAAAAAACAACTTTACTTCACCTCCCTCCATTGTTATCACAGTAATATTTGGACAATAAAGAGTTGACTACAACACTCACAAGAAGGCTGATCTTTTTATTAATCTGCTTCTACAGTTTTACAGCAGAGCTGTCTGTGGACCGGAGGTCAAATGTGCAAAGTGGATTTGATGTTGGTTGATATGCTTGACATTCGTTTAACACGATTATTGAAAGATTATGTGAATGAGACATCCTGCAGCATGACCATTAGTATATTGCTTTGCCAGTGAATTAATAGAATAACACTGACATGGTTCAAAAGCATCCACCATATTGCTTAAGACACATGCAGGCAAAACGGCACTGCAGGAAATTCCAGCTCCAAATGATGTTACCAGATTACACAAATCAAAAATCTTTAGAATGTTCACTGACATTAAAATGCCAAAATGTGCATTGAATGTTTTTCTTGGATTGATTTTTGTTGTTTTGTTCCATTTGTTCCAGGAACAAAACTCAGAATGTTATGTCTTAACACTATATAAATGAAATGTGTAAAAATGTATTTTTACTGCAAAACTGAATTTGGACTGCTGCTGATTTAGAAATAATAATACAGTTCAAATCTAAATAACATTTTCCCTGCCACATTCTGCATCGAAAAAAAGATTTATGGCGGCACAAGAAATACATTAAATGTTTGTATGCTTGAACTATAGGGCATTTTTATTTTGTTTCTTGGCTAATTAAATTCTCTTACTAGTGTGCAAAAACAATATTTTTTTGGGGGTCAAATAGATATGTATTGTTTCATATTAAATTATTATCAGCGGTGTTGACCATGACTTAAAATAAATGAAAAACACATTTTCATGAAAAATATAAGGCTACTGGATTTCCAAGCACTTGCCTTAGGACCAAATATTTTACACACATGGAGTCATTATCTGCATTTTCAGAGACAGTTTACCAGCAGAAACACATTGCTACCATAAACACAAGTGTTCAACACAGCTGCGCCACTATAATTGTTTTTATTCTGAAAGAATTAACCATTTCTTTTGGTGGTCCGGATATGAAGATATTTCCATCTGATGACTGTTGTCATGACTGATTTTCTTGACCGAAATTCATCCATCAAGCTTTTACCACTAACAGATGTTATTGAATGCACGTGCCACATCTGTGAGTGTTATGAAGTAAACATCCTGCTGTTGTTTTTGGTGAATTTAATTCTAAGCTGAGCATCATTTAACGAGAAATATCCTTGTAAGTTCAGTGTGTCAATAAACAAAGATCCCTGTCAGAGGCTTACCTTTAGTGAGGAATAGATACAGTAATCTTAAACCTGCAGTATAGTGTAGCATCGCGTTAGAGAGCTGCTGACTAGTGGGGATGTCTCGCTGTCTGTGTTTTTCCTCTGTGTTAGTTGGTTGAAAGCGCAGCGGGCTCCAGGCCACCGCGCAGGATGACCGCAGAGAACAAGCAGCCTCGCATTCAGAACGGAGCTCCATGCTGTGGAGACCGGTTCCTCAATAAAGGCTGACAAGAGCCGAGCAAAGAGCCGTTTGAGCTCACTTCAACAATTGACCATGATAACAGGATCCCATGCGCACGTGCAGCTTAAATAATAGCACTGCATATTAATGCAGAAAAATAACCACATTAATAATCCATTCGGTAGCTATTTATGTAGTTATTATTTTTCCCCCAAATAATCCCTGCAAGGTGGAGGTATAAAACTGTAAAGAACAAACAAATTGGCTTTGAAAAAATAAAGGGATAACAGAATAAACGAAGCCGATAACCGATTAATTTATATACTATATATATATATTTACAGACAAATATCAATGCCAGTCACTGAAGTATCTTCGACCAAAACTTACTTTACAAAACTTTCAACAATATGAACAACAGCAAATAATATATAAAAAATGCACTAAAATAAAAGAGATAACCATAAAAAAAGAAAAGCATGGCAAATTTCGTTTGGGATAAAAGTGCAAAAGGATGGGTAGCATGACGCGTTTATGTTACAAAGCAAAGAGCTGTTCCATTGGCTTATTTATAACCATCTGTACACATTTTCGCTCTGAAAATAAAAAAGACATAGCTAAATGACATGTCAAAATAAACGTCTAGTTTTTACTAATAATAGTAATAATAAAAGCGTGAATTATTCTGTGTCTTGTCGGATGTAACAACACGAAAACTCTCATAGAGGAAATGGGGCAAATGTTAAAAATCAATGGGCCCACTTTGCATGTTTGAATAAATATTAACATTGTATTGTAAAACCTATTCCCCCTTGATGTTGAAAACAGCAATACGCTATATATTTGTAATGGTAAGAGGAAGAGGCCACCATTGTCTACAGTGCATTTACAGTGCGGAAGTAGCTGCAGTTAAAACAACTCTGCAGCCTACTATAGTAGATGATCCGGGGAGCAAATGTCATCCTCGATGTCCACATCGTCATCGTTTTCCTCCAGCAGGTACGAGTCCGGCTCCAGTCCATGTTTCAGCTCCTCCGCGCTCTTCTCGTTCAGTTCGCTCTCGCTGGAGTTCTCCGCGGATCGGTCCAGCTCCCCGGGCGTCTTCCGCTCGTCCTGCGCTTTCCTCAACTGCTTCTTGTGCTTCATCCGCCGGTTCTGGAACCACGTTTTTACCTGCACGGCAGTTGTGCATGTGAGAGTGAATTATGTGAATTGTAAAAACGATCCTAAATATACGCAATTCATCCCTTAATGATCTGTGATCTAAAGAAATCCCTTAAATAAGTCAATATTATTAATTTGGGTTATACACCTAAAGACACAGTAAGAGTTGGCCTGTTGAATTATGTTTGCTACTAAATTTCATATATAGTCAGAAGTAGACTTTTAAAATTAAATCCAATTTATTTGTAAAACCCAAAATCTAAAATCACAAATTTGCCCCAGTGGGCTTTACAATCTGAGAATGACCTGTAGAATTTGAAAAACCATCTGTTCCCTGGAGGTATATGATTTATGTATTATTATATTGTATTTCATGGTGGTTGGCGGGCCGCCGCTTTTCTTTGGGTCATGAAGAGTAATAAGTATTGAACGAATAAACAAAGGAACCACGTTCACATACACTTTGCTCCATGGCAGCATCCCTGTATCTCCTGCTTTCAGATGTGTGTGTGTCTGTGTGTGTACCTGCGTCTCGGACAGGCTAAGCGCCGTGGCCAGCTCCACTCTCTCCGGTGTGGACAGGTACCGCTGGACTTCGAACCTCTTCTCCAGGCCAGAAAGCTGCGAGTCGGAGAAAACCGTCCGGGCCTTCCGGCGTCTGCAGTGCTTCCCCGGTAACTCTGCATGGTGCTGGAACAGGGCCGGCATCTGCATGCCTACAGGTGGTAAGAACAAGTGATGAGACATTCTAAGTGTTCAACAACAACATAACACACACAAACTCTTTATATGTCTGAGAAACTGTAACGGAATAATAGGCGTTCATATTTTAATGACATTACTTTATAATGAATGCAAAAACACATTTTAGTTTACAGAATAATCAGAGCAGCATAATTGCCCTTTGGGCTTAAATTAAGATGAAAATAAATAACGTACATTTTAATGCCGTTTGAACAACTTAATTATTATATTAAATTGCTATATATTAATTATCTCCTGAAAAAAAGCCGAACTGAATAAGGTAGCCTACATACTGGTTATTGTTATTTCCGGAGAGTTCAACATTCCCACCTGCATTTCGTAGGCTATGTGACTC